CTAGGCCTTATCCTAAAGGCAATATTTTAATATTTTAAATGATTCTAGATCCGACACCACTACAAAAGCGGTACAGAGTCAACATTGATTGGTATTGGTCAGTCATTGTGGAACGACCTGAGACAATTGACAACAGAAGTCCACCACACACCCGTGGACCCTAGTCCCGCTTATTAATGCTCATGTAAACCTCAAGGGCATCTATTTTAGAAGATTGGGCGCAGGCTTTCCCGGAATGGTGATATATAGAGGATATCAATCTAAAATCTTTGTTATCTCACTTCGGATGACAGATGACGATGTTGGTATTCTCAACACCCCGCGGTTCCCCACTACCATGACACTATGCCGTAAGCAAACTGCTTCCATGATATAGATCGCAGCATGACTCCTGATCAATACTGTTGGATGCCTGAGGCATCACCATGTGATAGAACCCATAGTAGATAGTATACCTGCTCTCTCTCCTCCTTTCTCTCTCCTGTCTCTGTCCCACTCAATACATACAGTCTTTTCTCTATGAGTACACTCGCACTGTATCAAATACTTATATTTACGGGACTTCTTGGGGTATATATTTCACACACACATGGCGCAAATACAGGCCAAGGGTAAACTCTTTTTGTCAATCGAGATCGTAACTTCAACTGTGCTCCTCAGTACTTTGATTATATCGTCCCATTGATTCCAATTTCTTTACCATGATTTCAACCCAGAATAATCGTCCGAAATATTTAATCACTCAGTCTGATGTGGAAGGATATACCCGCATCAAGCATGCTTACGTTCCCACAGGGGACAGGATTGAATTATGTACCGATCTTTTGTTGCTATTCTCTGCATCCCAGGATAACACAAAAGTTCCTGTCATTTGCAGCATGGGTCCTTCTTGTATAAATAATCATGCTGCTACATTCGGGTTGCCGCAAACACCAATCTATGCCGAGATGTACAAACAGATCAAACCGCTAGGGCCGGACGCCTGCTTCGAGTTGTGTGGGTCTACTATCTGGGCGCATAGCTGATTTGACCCTTATCTCAAACCATTTATTTATCAGGCTGACAATAACTAGTGAAGGAAGTCCGGATATGCCTATTTCTAAGTTGATTCACGTGGTATTGGAAGCAGTTAGGGGAAGTTGGATTCCTTTGTTCTGGAAAGACTTTGCCAAACGAGAATGCCCCTGTGCTCAGTTCACTCTACTATTTTGAGATGCCACGTTAAGAAAATAAAAATTCCGAGCTATATCTTGTCTATCAATTGTAGTATCTAAGTTTTTGTGACAAGTTCACTTTCTATCTAGGACCAGTCTCCTTCATCTTGAACAGGGTTGCCACTCTCTGAAGCGTCCAGGAGCTCTTGAACAGTCCACGGCTTGTACTTGTAGCCAGGAACGGAATTCGTGTTCTCGAATGGTGCACCCCTGAGAAGGTGCTCTGCACACTTAGCGTAGTTCTCATTTGCATACTGCGCTGGGTCGTGGTGGATCAGCCAGTTTCCGACCATCTTGCCCATTACCTCCGGGTTCTTGGCAACTGCATCCCAATCAGTGTTGTGGAACAGCTCGCGGTTCTTGAATCCGAGCTTCTGGGCGCAAGAGACCCGTTCGAACCTATGACAGGAGCATGTATGATCAGCCTCTGTAACACGTAGCATTCTTCTGTCCCCATTCAACCCAGGACTAGCTACTAAGTCCTAGCTTCATGGGTTGTTACATACCTCAAGTGGTTGTGCACCTTCGTTGCGAGGGATACATCGTTCTTCCCGGCTATTTGTAAGCATGCAGCTAGGGAGTACGCATCTTCCATGGCCATTGTTCCGCCGCTGGCCGAGGTCGGCAGAAATGGGTGCGCGGCATCACCAATTTGGACGATGCGGCCGCTGGGCGACGCCCACTGCTGTTGAGGGTTACGCCAAACCAGCTTCCATTCAAGAACGGTGTGATTTGGTGTCGCATTGATAAGCTCAGTCATGAACGGTTCCCAGCCTTCAACGGCCTTTAGAGCCTTGTCAATCGACGTGGTCTTGGCCCAATCTTCTTTGTCGTCACCGCCATCCTCCTGGGTGACATTAGTGTCATATCAGATAACGGAGGCTTGAAGTATGAGTGAACATACCCTGCGAGTGAGCATCCAACAAATTTCGTTTTCCGATTTGCAAGTAACCACATGCGCCCCGGGACCGGCATGTAGGAATGCGCGGTCCCTGAATCCTTCAAATTCCTTCGCGATGACTGGGTTCTCGAGCGCCGGTGCCGCGGGGAAGGTGACTCGATACAGGATGAATCCCGAGCTAATGGGGGCGTCTTTGCTGCCGACTACTGATGCCCATGATTTGGTCCCAACCCCATCAGCAGCCACCACTACGTCTGCCGTGAGCCTGCGGCCGTCAGACAGGATCACACCGCCATGGTCCTCTGCCTCGAAGAAATCCGCAGCCGTCGCAGAGAACTCGACCGGTATTCCGAGCTGTAAGACATACTCGTGGAGAACATTATGCAACTTTGATCGGTAGATAGCTAGGGAAGGGACCTTGGGGTCGCCAATTGGGAACGTTCCGATCAGTGTGCCATCGAATTTCTTCATATTGAGCACTGGAGCAACCGCCTCTTGCCTCGCCCGCTCCATGAAGCCCGGCCATTTCTTTGGAGTGTGGAGAGCTGGAGTCGTGATTACGATCATTTCACCTGCATCAAGAATCCATACGTCACTTGGTCAGCCATATGTTCGATTTTGGGGGCTCCTGTCCAGAGGGAGGAAGTCCACTGCCAGCTCGCTTCTGTTCCGTGCTTACCAAAAGTCTCTCCGCGAGGTCGACGTTCGATTACCCGGACATTGTGACCCTTACGATGAGCCTCAATAGCGAATGATAGACCCGCAATGCCACCTCCAACAACGAGAATGGAGATTCCTGTGTCTTCTTCTCGCTTCATGGCTGATCTTGACAATGCTGACCTCTGGATCTTTGAAGGAAACCCGCTTGATTCAAATACTTACTTTCTTCGGGGTATGCTCAAATATATATAGCTCATGCGCAGATGTATCAAGCCGGATCTCACGGGAATGGATGGATACGGAGCGGACGAGCCTAGCTCCGTACCCGGGCAGGCCTCGACCTACATAGATCATTAGTGCTGGCCAAGGCCCGGGGCTGAAGATCTCCATTGGCTTAGCCAGGTACCTTGGCAGCGTTAAAAGCAATGATTATACCCGTACGGACAACTAAGAAATCAGATGAGAATCCAAGACTATCTACTACTATCCTGAGCTTGGGAATGGTGATTCAGATGTGAATAACCAAAGGGAAGTGTTACTGCCGTAGCAAATGAAAATAAATGGCATGGCTCATTCTGCAGATAAAACGTGCATGCTCTCAACAGGTACATCTACCTATGTAATAGCCTAATAAGCTATCGGTCCGCTCCTAGCCTCGCCCATGGGGCGGCCCCGGGGGCACCCATTTGTTAGTAAGCGGCATTCGGAACACGGAGGTCACAGTTAGCAAGGACGATCAACCTCCTGTTACCTACCTAGGGAAGTCTCAGGAGAAACAATATCGTCATGGAAGAAGCTTCTCGATTTTTTCTTGAAGCTAGCCCAGGGACTATAGTACTATTTTGATCTGCTCCACTTTGGGTGAAAGAAAAGAAAGCATGGCAAACGGCGATCACAATTACGGGCGACTAAGTATGCCACCGGTTCATAACTCTGACATTGGATATTACCTCCCGTCTTCATTCATCGCCAGAGGCATATACAAGAATTGCGATCAGCCGCTTACCTTGTTATATTCATTTTAGATGTCATTTTAGATACATACGAGGGCGGTAAAAAAGTATATTCTATATAAAGGGACTTTCCCTTAACTTTCTCCATGTAACCTTTGACTACATAATTAATCAACTTTATAATAGTACAACCAACCATTAATCTTAAACCCTATAAGGATCAGATTATATCTCTTGTTTAAACCCGCGTTATCTTCAACTATGTAATTAATTTGTTTCTACTGTAAAGTGAGGGTGGATCTAAATTAATGCCTAGCAATATGAACCAATGAGAGAGTTATGAACCAGTGGCATAATTAATCGCCCGTACTCAAGAGTCAAATGCACAAAGGTGCAGCTAAAATTGTGCATAAAATAGTCGGAAAGTTCCAAGGTTGTTGCCTATGTCGTCTGACCTACATTGCTGCCTGGTTCTTTAGGCTATCGACTGCATGTGTGTTTGCGTGTTTGCCGGGGTGAAGGTTCTACCTTCCTCCCTTTCTCTTTGTTTTCTTCTTCAATTCTCTGTTGGCTTATATTCGAATGATCATTGGCTGTGCTCCCTGTTTCCTGCTTCCGGCTACTGGCAAATATTTGCCCTTGTCCCAACCATCAAACATTTTCTCTTCGCCAGGTAATAAAATACCATCATAGTTTAGGACATGAAGGCTGAACTCCGATCCGCCTATGTACTTACCTCCATATGCGAGGGAAATATCACAGCCGGCGCAGCACTGAAAGTACCTCAGGACCTGAGTTACTAGAAGCTCGGGTTTCAGGCTTACCAAAATGTGGCTCCGGGGGTCAAATCAGCTTACCCCGAATCTCGGATACGATAAAAGATTATTACCAGGCCTACATTAGCTAGCCCTGGAGTTATCCATGGAGTTAACCTGCACACTCTAGGTCCAGTGTCTTCCATGGTTACTAAGAGTCACTACCTAGTGCCCTGGTGGATACCTTGCCACATTAGCGCCTTGTCAGGTACCTCTGATTGGCCAAGTCAATAACTGAACCTCGATCATTCCACGCCCTGTGGATGATTTCTCCATATAGCTTGGCAGCTTATATTTGTTTAAACTGGCCCCCGAAAGCTTCCTGCAAAATGTATGTTATAGTGAGCTGGGGATTTACTAAATTTTATACTCATCACAACATTTGAAAGCTTCATCTACTAGGGCAAGATTTCCCTACTTGTTCTTCCTTTTGTCGTGGTCGACCTCGGCTCTGAGAATGGAGGAAATTACAGGCTCACATTTGACAAATGAGCCTGAGAAGGGGCTGGGGACCCCAGCCGAGGGAATGAGAGGCGGCACTGATATGTCAAATGTTCGTTATGGGACGCAACTCCCGCCCATGGATGGTGGAATGAATGCCTGGCTGTTCCTCGCTGCGTGCTTCGTTATGGAGGCTCTCGTCTGGGGGTTCGCCTTCACCTTCGGTGTCTTCCAAGCGTATTACAGCGACATGCCTCAATTCAAGGACTCCGGTAATATCGCCGTCATTGGAACCTGCGCTATGGTAAAATTGAACATTTCATGCTCCAACCCGACGCGAGCTAACTCCTATCCACAGGGAATCATGTATCTCGACCTCCCTCTTGTGTTCGCCGCCTACAGACAATGGCCAAAATATCAACGCTTCGGCTGCGCCCTAGGTGTTTTACTAATGTGTGCGGCTCTCGGCCTGAGCTCCCTCGCCACAAACACCAACCACCTTATCGTCACTCAGGGGATATTCTATGCACTCGGCGGCAGCATCGCCTACGCTCCATGTATCCTCCTAATGGAAGAGTGGTTTGACCGGCGAAAGGGCCTCGCGTTTGGTGTCATGTGGGCCGGCACTGGAATCGGCGGTGTTGTTCTCCCTATCGTCATGGAACAGCTGCTGGGCAAGTATGGGTTCCGGATTACCCTACGAGGCTTCGCAGTCGTGTTGTTTATTCTCACGGCACCGCTGGTCTATTTCGTCAAGCCGCGTGTACCTATCCCAGATAACCGACCCAGTCCGCCTGCCCCAAACTTCCGGTTCATGTTTACATCCACCTTTGCTATCTTCGAGTTTTGCAATATCGTCGAGGCGCTCGGCTTCTTCTTGCCATCTATCTACCTCCCGACTTACGCAGGCATGATCGGTGCCTCGACTTCCCCCCAAGCACTGACTGTTATACTCTTCAACTTGGCCTCCGTCGTCGGCTGCGTACTTATGGGTGCCATCATCGACAAACTAGACGTGACGCTCTGCATCCTCATTTCAACTGTCGGATCCTCTATCGGCGTTTTTCTCATCTGGGGCTTCTCTACATCCCTCGCTCCTCTGTTCATATTCTCGATCATATACGGTCTCTTCGCAGGCTCATACACCAGTACCTGGCCTGGTATTATGCGCGAGGTAGTCCACAACAAACCCTCCGCTGAATCAAGCATGGTCTTTGCCTGTCTTGCGGCCGGAAGGGGCGTCGGGAATTTGGTTTCCGGTCCCCTTAGTGAGGGTCTTATCAAGGGGTTGCCGTGGGAGGGGAACGCTGGGTACGGTTATGGGAGTGGATATGGAACCTTGATTGCTTTTACAGGCGTTACAGGCGTTGTGGGTGGTGGGAGTTACGCTGCGAGGCGTATGAAGTGGTTGTAAACCCTGCTAACCTACCCCTACGGCCTGCAAACCTGATAGATATTGGTAAATTATCGTGGATTACCGGGGATTATCCGACAACAGTTGATATACGAGCGCCACTACCTTTTAGTGAGATTCTAAATTGCACAGCCAAAAATATCTGTTCTTCCCCGTGTGTCCAAGTAATAATTCTATGGACTTGATGACACGAGTAACAATTCTCAATGAACTTGAGTAATCATTCAGCCATCTCTGTTTCAATGTCATTTTACGGGCGACTAAGTATGCCACCCGGCACATAACTCTCTCATTGGATTATATTGCTAGACAATAATTCAGATCCACTCTAACCTTACAAAAAGTATAGTCTTTATAATTGTATCAACTTGCATGCCATATATATGCATTTACTTAATACCTTACAGGAGCATTTAATTGATAACAAATATTAAAGCTTACTGGGTATACTTCCACCGTACCTAGTTAGCCGTATTGAGTAGACGGGCCCCAGGGGTTCTTAATCAGCTTATATGATTTACTATAGGATGGATCGCCCGGGCAGGTAGGTATCCATAGATAGATCTATAGGTAGATAGATCTTTGAATCATCGACCATACCATAACACCATTCTATATTCTTCGTCTTATTTAATGATTTCACTTTATATAAACCATTATTACGAGATATAGGCACTACAGGATTGTGGACCTTATGGAAGGGATTTGGTACGAGGAGTCAAGATCTTTGCCTCGTCGATGGTTCCAAGGTAAATAGTCAAGGGTGCAAACTACTGGTAGTTGATCTTTATGGTAAAATGATAAGAACAAGAATTTCAACAAACTGTGAACTTTTGTATGAGATTCAACCATTGTATTTGACAGATTTTGACAGAAACTTTAATTTAATTGCGATCTATTACTATGTAGTTACACCTACTAGATACCGGGAGCAACCTTGGAAGTTATGGCATCGTCTCGTTTCTTCCTGTTGTAATGGGGGCACTACAGTGGGGAGATAGATGGAAGAAGAAGAGTTGTTATTTGTAAGAACTAATTAAATAAAGGGTTTAAATACCCTTAGCACCAAACATCATCTGAAGACTGCTCAGTCTGTCAAACATCCATGCCTGCATGTTCAACACTTCCTTCCATACCAAATGCTCTAAAGCCTATGATGAATCCTCTCTGGTCGGGCAACGAACTACTCCATACCTAGACATTCTAGTGATCCTAGCAACCGAGACCACAACACACTTTCTCAGGACATGCTTCAATTACGCGCTACGTTCAACTTACTCAAGAGAGGAAACGAGAGTGTTTAGGCTCGTATTTCCTCCAATTCGACCGCCTGGGATACCCTTAATAACACTACTTCCGTCCTCCTCACCCAGCAAGGCCGTATCCTACGGGAAAGGGACACCCGCGATCTAAAACGCGTCGCCCAGCGGTGAAGGGCCCACAGCCAGACTTTGCAGACTACCTTGACCACTGTGGATAGTCTACAGGAGGAAATCGAAGGGATTCTTATCCGCATGGAAGAACGTATTCGGCAGTTCCGCGGGTAGGCATCTGAGACTAGCCCCGCGTCGCCAGACCAGCGTAACCACCTTGAACAACGCATAGTATAAGGAAATTAAAGAGCCCTACCGTGTTTTATATTTTTATCTTCTATTTTTGTAGGGTTTCTGGCGTCTGCTAGTCTAAATAGAGCCCCTGTGGTTGAAACGCAATAAAACACATTCTTTAGTAAGTATATTATAAGCGATAAGTAGAAACATAAGCTGCAGAAAAGGAGGTATATATCAATAAGAATTTTCGCTTAGGGGTTATACTGGGGCTCTAGAGCTGGTGTTTAATAAAATTTGATGGAACGAGAGTGATTGGTTGCTATGTAGTTGTAGCGGTAAGCAGGGCTCTCTCCCGAGGTGGCTAATCTATGGTTGCCGAGCTCTGGGTATTGTAGCCCCAATTTCTCTAAATAGCTTTCAGCTCTCCACCCCAGAACCATCGTGGTCCGCTTTTCACCTGTTTAGTCTGGATATTCATATGAAATGGCTGATTCAAAGAACTTCGGTTTGTTCTTGATTATAAATGTATCTTTGCACATAACTTTTTACTGGAGTGTACAAGATATTATTCAAATAATAAAGTAATTAATACTCAGCGCGTCTTGGATGTGGACCCAAAAGGAACACGCTAAAACCTCCGAATTCGTGGCCTTCCCCAATAGATATCCATCTCTCCGTCTCCACTACTCGTGAGATTAAATTTGACAGGGTCTGTTACCCCTTTCCCTTTAGGTATAACTCGGCAGGACTGTGCGGATGACCGTTCCTGTTTAAATATTAAAACTTTTCCCCACTTTTGGACATGATTAATTTCTTACCTACGCTCGCTACCATCATGATGGCTTATTTCTGGGTCTCTATTGTCCTATTAATTCCACGGGCTCTAGCAGTCCTTACTGAATCCATAGCAAGTTCTGCTACAGTCACTACCTCTACTGCCGCGGCACCAAGCTGTACATCCTCCCTCATCGCCAGTCTCTGCAGCTACTCGAAACCGGGCCCAAACTTTGCCGTCGCCAGCGACAGTAGGGCCTCCTGCTGGGACTACTGTAATGCCCACCCTCCCTGCAACTTTGTTATCTTCGTTGCCGGCAACCCTTACACGGGCACCGGCACGTGCTGGTTGTACCCTGGTGAAACGTTCGATGCGAGTAAAGGTAGTTCGGATTGTGCCAATCCCAGCCTGTTCGCCTACAGCCAGCCCGTGTGTGCTGGCGGGAGCGCAACCACCACTGCTGGCGCCTGCGCCGCCACCGCGACCCCCTCTGCTATTGCCTCGGTCTGCGGGTACCCGGCGCCTGGTGACTGCTTTAACGATTGCATTGCTAGTACGGGTGCATCGAGCTGCTTGAGTCAATGTGCAGAGGCCGATTCCTGCAGCTATGTCGTCTTTAATCCGCATAATCCAAGCAACTCGCCGTATGCCCCGGGCAATTGCTGGATCTTTCCGAACGGCACATTTAACGCTGGGTCTGTGACCACTTGTAGTGGCGCCCCTGAGCAGTTTGTGTATAACAACTTGTGTCCCAAGCCATCGTCCTCGCTTTTATCATCTGCTACGGAACGCTCTAGTGGCAACGGAACTGCATCGACAACTCCGGACTCCACTACTAGCGCCGGCACGGGCTCTAATGGCACTGAAACCGCAGTTAATACTACGGGCTCAACTACTACCAGTGAGAATTCTGCGCCTGTCGGCCTCTCGCCTACTAATGCATTAACTGTATGCATGGCTATATTCATATGGCATGCCCTTTAGCGATATCCTTGTATGCATTTGTTGTTTCCTCTTTGTTCGGCTAAACAAGCTATTGGAAACGATATATTATTAATGGACTTCGTCCGATAACTTCTAAACAAGCCCTATGTCTCAGTTCAGTTCCAAGTAATAAATGAAGAAGGCTTGCCAAAGGTGTCAGCTAGTATATCTAAGCCAGATAAAAAAATATTCCCACCCTTCGTAACATCATGATCGGGCCTGCACCAGGTCCTTTGGGATAGCACGTAGCGCCTTATTGGAGAATATTTTATGTTCTCCGATCGGCTAACTATAAGGGGTGACTAGAACTCATTGCCCTTTCCATATCACCCAACTTCCTCACGATGTTCTGCTCTAGAGTTCTCTGTAGTCGAACTGCTATCGAGGTTCCAGACTCTCCATCATAGACTGGTCTCTCCACCTCATCAGCGCGCAAACACAGCTCGACAATTTCCCTATATGAGTCACCAAGTTTACTGGAAATTTGTTGTAGGCAATTGTCAAAAACGTCCTCTTTGAGCAACCGCTTTTGGACAGCGATCAATTCTGAAGGCCTGGCAGAATCCAAATTATCGAAATCGAGGAACTCATGAATTGGCTTCCAAGTTGCTATTTCTATCAGCAAAATACCGAGGCTGTATATGTCGTACGATTTTCGGTACTCTCCGCTGTTTTGAGAAGACTGTGCGAACGGGTGTCGATAGATATCCTCACGGGGATTGAATCTCGGCTTCTCAGACAACTCATCTAGGATATTAGGTCGAGACAGCTCGTATCCTAGCACGAACGGTTCTTTAAGATCAAGATTCAACAGTGGTTGTGAAAAAAAGACGATTTTCTCACTCCGCAGCCCCTTGTGGACCCAGTCAACAGCATGGAAGGTGTGGACACACCCAGCCAGGGTAGCGCATAGAGAGATTCGCATGGAGAGTGAGGGTACTGGTTGTTGCTGGAGAAGCTGTCGAAGTGTCACAACTTGCGTTATAGGACGATGTGGAAGCTTCTCGAAAACAATCCCGAACCACTTTTGGTCGTCGTGGTTAAACGCAAGGTACCCAAGACAGGGTGGCAACCGAAAGGCTGCTGGTATTTCGTCGCAGAGGAGATCGGTCAAGAGACGAATTCGATCCTCAAGTCTGGAATTGGCCGAATCGTCATGTGGCTGGTTGGAATGGTAGCTGCTCCATTCAATCCAGATATTTCGGCCGTCATAAGTCGCAGAAATATGGCTTTCGGGGAAACCCTGATCAATGGCTGGAGAGTTGAAATAAAAATGCGAAAGATCCAACGGCTTCCGGCCTGATATAACAGTCTCCGCGCCCATCTGACCGCCAATCTGTTTGTACTGTATCTTTACCTCGGTGAGTTTCTTGAGGTACCTTTGCTTCTTTCTTTGTGCTTCCATCTCTCGTAAGAGTGGTTGCCGAATATGATTGTCGTGCAAGATATCTCCACCTAGCGACGAATCTCTCTCATCGGCCCCATTACTTAACGCCTCGACCAATCCAGATAACCCCTTGATATCGTCACGAATTTGCAGAATCTCGTTATAACTTATATCCATAGCAAGCTGCAATCGTTCGACTCGCGCACTGTCAAGGAGAGATATAAGAAACGAGTTCAGAACTCCAAGCTTCGCAATGACGTTCTCGAAACTTGATTTATCCACAGTTGCCCATACTAAACGTTTGGGCTCCAGTGCAATAGTGCGAAGGTTTTTTCCAGTTTGTACTATCCCTTGCATTACCTTGCGAAGTTTTTTCAAGCGCTGATGTTTTTTTCTCGTCAGAGACAAACGAGGCACCGTCTGAATCGTCCAAAGGTAGGCAAATTAGAGTGACCAGGTCAGTCTCCGGTTCCCCCTGATCACCCCATCTAGTTTCACCTTGAGTTTCCTCATATTTTCCATTCCTTGTTGCATAATCCTCAAAGAGCGTCTTTATCTCAGCAAGCACTGCCAGAAGCAAGGAACTGTTGAGTCGGAGTGTTTCACACAGAGTGCCATCAGTATAGAGGACTCCGGCTTCAAGCCCAAAGTTTAGGAAGCGCTGTTGTTCCGTTTGGAGGCGGATCTTGCAATAGCGGTATTCATCTGGCATGCCTACCGCCTTCGCGTAGTACTGATATGCTGGTGAAGAAGTTAGCCGTGATGGTACAATAACAAATATCATGCTTGTACCTTTGATGCATTCGTCTAATGTCTGAATAATTAAAGATGTTACACCCACTGCCGCACCCAGGATAGATAGAGGGTCTGCCATGATGGAAAAATAGAAACTAATCGAAACTTAGATTGGACAAAGCAATGAAGAAGGCAAATTTGAAATTATTTGTGAGAGCCAAAGGGATAAAAATAATCCATTAAGCGTGAACTATTGAAGATATTGGTTATTGCGTGCGGGGTTGGTGTTAACCCTCCCCTTCTACGGAGGTCCACGGGTCACAATATTGCTTATTTCTTAGTTTCCACTATCCCGAATTCAGCCTAGCTAATACATAATACACCCGGCCCCTGAGCCCGTGGGTCTACCATCGTCTCCACGCCTTCTACTTCTTAGCCATAGCCAAAATGGCTATCAATAGCTCAATACACACGTTGTATCTAACCACCCTTTCTGAAAGGACTTTTGCTGCTCGAGTGGCTTGAAATACTCAAATATTCCAGAGCGCAAATTATGTATAATAAATAATAAATTACACTCAGCTGAACCATCACACAGCGTACTAGTAATGTAGGAAAAAGCAACGTTGTTTTTTTTTTTCTTTTGGCCCCCCTCCGTACATACTGGCTGTGTGGGTGATTAATATTGGGCAGAAATATTATGACATAAGCATGATTGGTGTGGACAGCTGAATTCCGATTGTCAACACTCATCAAGATGATACACGATCGAGTACTACAACGTGACTGTAAGTGCTTCCTGGAGATATGATACTGCTGTGGGCTAAAACATGTACAATAGACTTTGGAGCCCCGACCAAGCTTCCCGACCGTTTTTCCACACCCGATCCCTCGTGGAGAATAACGGGTACTTCTTGCCCCCGCTTTACCGCATACCACACGGCGCCGTACTGTGATTAGAACCTATCAGGGAAAATTCACATTTGCACATAATGGGCTCGCCCGAAGGAATACAGAAACAGGCAGAAAATCTGTATGGTCAGAAAAAATACAAGGAGGCCGAAAAGCTGTTCGACGAGGTAGTACATTATCGGGAGACGACCCTCGGCAAGGACCATAAACGCACGCATTTCAGCAAGGATCGGCTGGCACAGACGCTATATCATCAGGGAAAATATCAGGAGGCAGAGAAAATGTACTACCAGCTAGTACAGGGACATGAGAGGGCCCTCGACAAGGACCATGAACACACGCTTACCGGCAAATATTTGCTGGCACAGACGCTTTATCGGCAGGGAAAGTACCAGGAGGCACAGAGGACATTCCAAGAGCTAACAGATACCCGTGAGAAAACTCTGGGCAAGGACCACGAACATACGCTTACCGGCAAATCCTGGCTGGCACGGACGCTATATCAGCAGGGAAAGTACCATGAGGCACGGAGGATATTCCAAGAGCTAGCAGATACCCGTGAGAGAACTCTGGGCAAGGACCACGAACATACGCTTACCGGAAAATCCTGGATGGCACAAACGCTATATCAGCAGGGAAAGTACCAGGAGGCACAGAGTATATTCCAAGAGCTAGCAAATACCCGTGAGAGAACTCTGGGCAAGGGCCATGAAGATACCCTTGCCAGCAATCAACGATTATTTCAGACAAAATTGGCTGAGCGGCAAGAGTCCCAGAAGGCTGGAAAGCCATTCGATAGAACAGTATACGGACAGGAGAAGATAACAGGCAAGTACCATGGGGACACACCTAATAGTCAACAGCTAACGTAGGCTGGCAGGGATGCTGCTAAATGAGAACAAATACCGCGAAGCAGAGGAAGCATCGCGCCGGGAAATACGAGCCCGTGATGCGTTTCTAGGCAAGGATGATAGGATCACGCTTGACCTCAAACTTAATCTGGCACAATCACTACTTGAGCAGAATAGACACCAGGAGGCAGGGAGTATATTACAAGAGGTACAACATGTTCGTGAGAGAACTATGGACAAGGACCATAAAGATACGTCTGCCAGCAACCAATTTTTACTTCAGACAAAGCAATTTGAAGAGCAATACGAAGCAGAGGAAAGATTGCGCCAGAAAATACGAGCCCGTGATACGTTTCTAGGCAAGGATGACAGGATCACGCTTGACCTCAAACTTAATCTGGCACAATCACTACTTGAGCAGAATAGACACCAGGAGGCAGGGAGTATATTCCAAGAGGTAGAAAATATCCGTGAGAGAACTCTGGGCAAAAAGTCTCCTGCAGATTCTGTATCTCTTGCACGTTCATTGCCTCTGGTGTATGGCACTACAGCCATATCGCAGAAAGTACAGTCTCCTGCGGACTCACTGCCTCTGGTGCATGGCACTACAGCTATATCGCAGGAAATGCAGTCTCCTGTGGACTCACTGCCTCTGGTGCATGGCACTACAGCCATATCGCAGGAAGTGCAGTCTCCTGCGGACTCACTGCCTCTAGTGCATGACACTACAGCCATGTGGGGAGCCGGGTTAAACACCTTTTTCCTAGCGCCAACGGAAAGTCGAAAGCCTTACAATGACTCTGAAATATCTCAAATATCTACACTACTACGACAAACTAATTCCGCTTGGAGCCGTGTCCCTCGCACCTATATCATACTACGGACGATTGATTGCTTGCATCACCTCGACGAACTAATTGATCTTGGGTTTTCTGATTATTGGCTCCCTGTCAATCAAAGCAGCGTACCAGATTGCCTATCACCCAAGATGCGGAGCCTCTTCCTAGGTACTCAGAAATTGATCTTAACGCCATCAATAAACCTGGAGAAGGGCGCAAAGGGTCATCATTGTCATTTCGAAAGGGGCGAGTCGCTTCCCTTCGAGAGCAGAGGAGTCTTAGGTAATGGAGGGTTTGGTCAAGTTGACAGAATTCTGAGCCGGATCAGCTTCAGGGAATACGCGAGAAAACAAGTTCCGCGGAAACGAGCGTTTGGTAGACTGGACGTTGCGGCCTTGAAAAGTATTATTGGGGAGATTGAGGCAATGAAAAAACTGAAGCATCATCATATTGTGGAATTTGTGGGAAGTTACACAGATCCTAAATACCTTAGTGTGATAATGTATCCAGTTGCCGAGCAGAATCTTTTTGACTATTTGAAGGCAGCCGGTAGTGCAAACCATGGAGAGATACGAACTTTTTTTGGTTGTCTCGCCACCGGGCTTCAGTTTCTCCATGACCGCCAGATCCGACATAAAGATATCAAGCCACGCAATATCCTCGTTGACAAAGGGCAAATTTACCTCACTGACTTTGGCCTGTCACTGGATTTTGAAGATGCCACCGGTAGTACTACTGTTGGGACGGTGAATTTCATGACCGCACGATATTGCGCTCCCGAAGTGGCACTGTGGGAACCTCGAAACACGTCCTCCGATATCTGGTCTCTGGGCGTCGTCTTCCTGGAGATGATAGTTGTTCTGAAGGGCAGGACAATAGACTGGATGGATGACTTTCTCAGAGCTCATGGGTCACATCAGACCTTTATCCACTCGAATCTAACTGGGCTTGAAAAGCTTTTGGCTGAACTGAAACAGACGGTGAATCTCTCTGACAATGTGGCCCTGGTCTGGATACAGCAAATACTGCAGAAACAACATAAATCGCGTCCAACTGCAGCAAGCCTGGCTACATCAATTACTCAGCCTTATATTCATGGGGGCCCGGATACTATTTTCTGCGGGATATGTTGCCTTACGCCTGGTGACACAGATTCTGATACTTCCGATGACCCCGAGGCGGAGAACTTTCTGCATGAATTTTCTTTACGCACGTGCGTACAGTAATTGGTGTCTGCTGAATACATACTTGACTTCGATGTTCACAACTTGAAACAGTGAGGTCATTTTATTTTTTTGCACATGGGTAGAAAGGGCTTCAATTTTTGTGGCCTCAAGTGCCCTCCGCACGTCCCAATTCAAAACTCTTATAATTATTGGCGAAAGAACATATGTCCTGATTAGATCTTTCGTATTTCATCCTTACTGCCTGTCGTGGACGTCCCCTGGCAGTTCACATGGGTCATAGGATGGGACTGTGGAAAGTTATAAGCCAAACCCTGCATTTGCTATTACAGATAACAGAACCTTAGACAGAAGAAACATGCGCCAAATGACCCAATAACCAAGGCAGGTCAACAGATCACACAAATGAAGGGTATGGGTATGTGCTAGGCTGAAATCCAGTCCAAAATTTTGCCTAGATAAACCAACATCGCACGTTGCCTTGACTGTCATGTATTCACGCAGCTATCGCTCGCCTCCAGTGACATGCTACAATCAAGCGTTGAAGTGCTTGCAACAGATTCACAATCGGGCACAGGTAGCAGCACGGACATACACACATTTACCCCGAATCCAATTGATATTTCGCCTCTCCTATTTAAGGTCGCAGATCGTAGTGGGGGGGGCTCTGTGTTGGTCGAATATGTAGAGTTCGATTCGAGGCCTCCAAAAAACATATGCCGAGATCCTCAGGACAATTTGAAAGCTTTATCATGACTTAGAAGATTGAGAATGTCGATATCTTCACGAAGATGGACACTGCCACTTTGGGGGGCCCGGACAAGAAGGGACTACACCAAGGCGGTGGCCAGCTAGCGGATTGACAAAAAAGGATGAGGCAGTACAACTCTCGAAGATTCTGTGTTTTGAATCACAACAACTGACCTAAATGCATTATCTATTTCGTTCCGCAAAACACCTACTACCACCATAGCAACTTGGAAATACTTATTGAGGTAAAAATAAAAACATACAACAGTGAGGATTCGCTGGTGGTCACCCACCCAACTACTAACTCACCGGCGTGTGGCTTAAGTACGGCTGAGCGGACGGGAAGCCCTGTTTTCCACACCCTATGGTCGTATGTATCATGTTAGTTTTCACAGAGGATTATAGGGTAAAATAAATCTAGGACTCTTGGTGAGTTTAGCGTCGCGGGTGAGAGGTGAGTGAGCAACAGGAAGGGTGAGAACTAAGGTGTCCTACCAATTTTCATATTTCCTGATCATATATATCTATGCGCGCCGGGGAACGAGCGAGAGACCGAGAAAGATAAAGAATTATTGAATTTTGAGATTAAATTGAGGTTGACTACCAATTATATATAATCCAACCTAAGAGGCAACACAATGACTGTGGCCAATTGCATAGTCATACGCCACTAGTTAGACTGCAGCAGGTTAATTGAATTTTGATTGATTGATTGAATGACCGTGGCCAAACACTTCTTTGTCACTACATGCCAGGAGTTTTCTAATTGATTGCTCTGACTGAGATTCTCACATGGAAATCTCCAATATTACTCCTCAGTAGGATACACAACCACCCGATCCAAATCCGCACCCTTGTGATCAAACCCGTTATATAGTCCCCCGACTGTGATGGTATTCTTCTTCCCTTTGTTCAGTGTTAACTGCAGGGGTGTAGAGAGAATGATACCTTTGTGTGTATCTCGTTGGTATAGAGTCTGCATGCTCGAAGGGTCTCCGTTGACAACCACGCTACTAATTCGACGTAGCTGCCACGAACCACCGATTCTGTCCGGGGTACCTCCAGCTATTGAACGTATTAGAATATCGGAACCACAATGTAGCTCAAGGCAATATGTTGAAGGCTACTTACGTTGGTCGCCGAAACCCAAGTCGTCAGTGTCTAATCGTAATGTTAGTATCGTTCAGGGAGACTAAAATTAAGAACAGCCGGCGCACTTTGATAGTAGAATGACACCCATTGCGGTTTTCCAGATCCCTCAATATTTTCAAACGTAACAGTGCTGTCATTTCCGTATATTCCAGTGAGAATAATGCCATCGGTAGCAAAGTTCTTCCAGCAAATCCTATTAGCCAAGATAGTCCGATGCCTGAAATGTTATAATTATACTCACAGCCTCCTGCTTATATGCATCACCGTGCGTTTTTGCCTCTTTCGCAGGGTATGTTGTTCCCTTGACAGGTTTCCAGTCCCCGGTTTTCCTAAATCCAGTTAGTATGGATCACACGGCAAAGGTAGAAGAAAGCACACGTACACGTCAAGATCGTAAACATCGTGCCACTCTAACTCAAGAGTCTTCTTATACTCATCAGTCTGAATTGGCAACCAGATATAACGACTGTCCCAGACAGAATTGGAATCCCATTGATCTCCGATGTATAGGTGCGTTGTCCTTTTTGTACCATTTATTCTGAGCGTGTATCCAGACTGCGAGTTGAAAGTCCGTGTGTTTAATGGCGCGACAATAAACGGCTGCGACCAGGGACCGCTTAGTGAGTCAGCCCGAAATGCCACCACGTCTGAAAGGTTAGCCAAGCAATTCATACATCTTCAAGAACTAGGCATCTTACTATTTGGTCTATATCCAGTTTTGTGGCTCATAAGTGCCCAGTAACTCTTCTCTGTTTGCATGATAGTAGGAGCCTCAAGATCGAATTTTGGAAATCGGTACACGACCTTTTCGAGAGCCGTGAGGTTATTATTCATGCTTGAGAGATACACATCTCGTCCATCTCGACTATCTCCGTTCGAGTATAGGGCATATGACTGGCCATCCTTGTAGTCAGTGAACAAGCCGAAATCCTGGGACCAGTTTCCAAGGGGCGCTGTTGCGTCAACGAAAGTGTATGGCCCACCGATTGTGGAGGATACTGCGTGGCCTTGGAGAAGGAGCCCGTACGTCGAATTGTCTGCATGCCACCACATCTGTTTAGTTAGTCTTGGAAGGCAAAACATTGAGGGAGGTCTGCATGCATACATGATAGTCCCCAGTCTCGGGGCTGTAAGCCACTTTAGGTCGTTGGATCACGCCACCAGGAGCAATGTATGGGTGTCCCTTGATCGGGGCTGTACATGTTAGATTATTCATTGATCTCTAGTATAGTGATAGAGAGTTACCTAGGGCCAGTCCCCCCGACTTCCAGGTACTCAGATCTTCCGAACTATAAACAGAGACACCTCCACCTTCTGGCTCCTCTTCTGTCTTATGTTCGCCAAACCACCAGAAAAGGCCAGACTTCTGGTCAAAGGTAATTCCGGCACCGTGCGCATTGATGAAGTTCCCATCTGTGTCGCGCCATCTGCCCCCAGGGACAATATATTTACTTTGCGCCGAGACAGCCAAAAGGGTAGCCAGAAAAGCTGACAACAGTCGCATATTGACGGTGTTGTGCCAATTGTTTTTTGGGATGTCAGAAATTATGCCAATTCGTCAAATTGGAGTTGATTTATACTCTCATCTAGTTGTCGGCCTCTATTGTACCGACATTGCGGGGTAAAAGGAAGACGTTATATCCTTCATCTTGGCAGGAATATTTTGTAGTTTGGTGTTTAAAACATTCCCTTTCATGATTTTGTTATGTTATACCCTTCGCGCGTCTAGGAGGTATGTATTTAGTACATATTTGGACTATTTGATCCACCTAGGTTTGCCATTTACGTATACTACCAACTATCCTAGTTCTATGAAAATTATCATAGCCTACACGGCCCTCAAATGCCAAGAACCTTGGTAATTTCACTTCGCAACCTTGGAATAAACCGGGGAAGCAATAAAATAATGCGGATCTCCTATTGGATACCCTGAAGAGGCTAACGGGCGACGGAAGTTGATTATCCGTCTATTCCATGACAACAGGGACTACCTAGGCAAGGACTGGACCATAGGTAAACGCTATCCTTTGAGGTTAAGCAATCTACGCCAGTGGACAGTTCTACTTCTAAATGATTGCAGTGTTCAAAGCCAGTCTAGTAAGAGAAGAAAGAATAATTCAATGACTGTGGAATAAAGAGAGCTTAGACTTTGGACAGCAACATCTCAGCAATGCATGCCTTTCATGTAGTGGTTTAGTCTGAAAATAATCGCACCTAGGGGTTCATCGAACATAAAGGTCTAAGAGGTGTAAGAGGTACTATTAAAGATACATAGGTATTTACGTCTATTTTCGTCTTAGATTTGAGCCAAACTACTTGTCAATAATTTGACTAGATTACAGGTATTTATGGCGTAGGAACATCTCTAGCCCCTCCTCTCTACTCTGAGGGATGGGCAGTCTAGAAGTAGCAAGATACTGCAAGGACGAATGAAAGTAAATTAAGAACATGAGCTTGCGTTGGCTTCAAAAGGCTACTAGTCAACAGCACCACGTAGAGGTCCAAGCTCGTTGCTGTTGGATCCCCTGAAATGCCCACTGCAGTCCTAGGAGACCCCGGTCTTCCGCAAAGACCGGTCGGATTATTTCTCCTTGGAGCTAACCCGTTTGTTGTTGGATAATCTCAGTCGGGATCGGGATCGGGGTCGCCACGAGTCGGGCATTGCAGACACACGTCTTGTAAGATCTCAGTTGGATCGGGGTGGATATATAGTTTGAAGATTTATTTACTTTCCCTCTGATGTACTTCTCGGCTATATTCTATTTACCACTATATACATAGTTTTCTCTATGTATGTGACGATCTTCCGTATTTCTACAGGAAGTCGGACATCCATGTCACGTTGACAAGCTTTGGCAACCTACTCGCATAGCGTAGATTTCATGTGATACAACGCTGCAATGACATGAATGACGCTGCATCTAGGCACAGAACAAGCTCATAGATGGTGGTCCATTTTGCCAGGCCGGACTTGTCGTCTTTGTAGTCAGTTGATCTTCATCCTCTTAGTTCATACGCCCGGACTTCCGTCGCGCAAAGCCCCTCGTGGAAAGTTGGCTCATTTCGCAGTGTTTTTCTCGAATCCTATACTATAGCTACCAGTCCTTCTCAACAGCCATGCGCACATTGTGCAAGTACATAACCTTGAATATATCGAAGCTGACATTTTGACTGTAGCCAAGTTCGTGTAGTTGCTGATCCAAATACACTCGCGTAAAGTTCGTCACGGGCCATGCTGTTTGTGTTGTTTGTGTTGCTAGGGGATCTTCATCCTGTTCAAGGCCTAGGGTGGCCATATTCCTAGTTGGACCAAAAAACAATAGGAATGCTACACGAGATGTATCCACACATACCACAAAAATTAGAGAAATAAGTAGTGTTGATTGTTCTCACAATGTACTAAATTCTCGTAAATAGAACGCTGAAAGGATCGATTAAGTTCGGAAGGAATGATATAGTTGTGCCATTGTCACATGCTAAAACGGTATTTGTTTGCATTGTTTGCAAAAGTGGGGTTTCCAACTTCCAGGGCTTTACCGCTTTACCCTCCAGGGTTGTCCCTCCAGTTCTCACCCTTCTCTCCCCATCTCCAGTATCTTCAACTGATCAGACTCTTTTTAATCAGACCTGAAACGCCACATTATTGAACCTCCGAATGATAGGGATTTCAGTGAATCTGCTTACGGAAAACTCACCGCATTGTCTTGGCAAAATGAACTGACACCCAGCCTTTGTTCTGGAAAGGAGAAACCCCCGAAATAATGTGGATCCATTTTAAGGATCAGCAGGGGTGTACATACGGAGTACATATGCAGTACGAATTAAACTACCGATGATCGTTCGGGAATTGTCCCTGGAAAAGTACTAGGCCCAACTGTCTGCGGGTAGATCGCCATGAACTAGTGACAGCCGCGGCACACCGGCCTTGTCTTCAACGGCTTTTGTAAAAATGGAGAACAATGCGGACAATCCCGTTGTTCAGGGGGAAAACGGTGCATAAAAGCTGGCAGGATTTCTCTTTTGGAAGCCCAACTCACTCATAGTCATTCTTTGTCAATATGATTCTTTCTTATATCTTTGGCCTGCTGGTCGCCACGTCCGGCCTGGCCAAAGCCGTTAACATCACTGGTTATGAATATGTGGTTGTGGGTTCCGGTGCTGGTGGTGGTCCTCTGGCTGCCCGCCTCGCTCTGGCTGGCCACAAGACATTGCTCCTTGAGGCTGGTGATGATCAGGGTGAAAACTACAACTACACCATCCCTGCCTACTCCGCCAGAGCCTCTGAAGACGAGAAGCTTTCCTGGAATTTCTTCGTTCACCACTATGAAGATGAGGAGCGTCAGGCTCGGGATTGGAAGGCTAGCTACGACACGCCTGATGGCGGGATATACACCGGCCTAAACCCTCCCGAGGGCTCGACCTTGAAGGGAACCCTCTACCCTCGCACGGGTACCCTCGGTGGTTGCACTGCCCACAACGCCTTGATTGCAGTCTACCCACACCAGTCTGACTTTGAATACATTGAGACTATCACCGGCGATAACTCTTGGACACCCGACAACATGCGCAAATACTTCACTAAGCTGGAGAACAATGGTTACTCCCTTCCTGCAGTTAAGGGCCACGGTTACGACGGCTGGTTGTCGACCGAAACCGCGCCCCTTAGCATCGTGTTGAAGGATACCCAGCTGCTGAGCATGCTCACCGGCGGTGCCTTTGCGCTTGGTAACTTGACCAACAGCATCATGAACATTGGCACTCTACTACTTGGCGATGCCAATGCTGATAAGAAGACCCGTGACACCGAGCCCGGCTACTACCAGATCCCTATTGCCACCGATGACGCCCACCGCAATGGTCCCCGCGAGTTTATCATTGCTGTGCGCGACGCTAAGAATGACGATGGCTCAAAGAAGTACCCTCTTGATGTCCGTATGAACACCCACGTCACTAAGGTGACTTTCGACGAGACCGAAACCCCTCCCCGTGCTACCGGTGTGGAGTTCCTTGAAGGCGAGCACCTCTACAAAGCTAGCCCTATGTCCAAATCCGCTCTTCCCGGTACCCCCGGTTCCGCCACCGCTTCTCGCGAAGTCATTGTTGCCGGCGGAGTATACAACTCTCCCCAGATCCTCAAGTTGAGTGGCATCGGACCCGCCGAGGAACTCAAGAAGTTCGGTATCAAGGTCATTAAGGATCTCCCCGGTGTCGGCACCAACCTGCAGGACCACTATGAAATCTCCGTCCAGGGCAAGATCGAGGAGGACTTCTCCTGCCTGGACAAGTGCACCTTCAGCATTCGTGACCAGGACGACCCTTGTATCAGCGACTGGGAGTCTCCTATCCTTGGTGACCGTGGCATTTACTCATCCCCCGGTCTTGCCGCCACTATGCTGTACAAAAGTTCCACAGCCGGCGATGACTTCGATATCTTCGAATTCGGTGGTCCCGTCAACTTCCGTGGTTACTTCCCCGACTACAGCATCAACGCGACTGACGAACACAACTGGTTCACCTGGGCTATTCTCAAGGCTCACCCCCGCAACTCCGCTGGTACCGTCGCTCTTCAGTCCGCTGATCCCCTTGACATGCCTAAGATCACCTTCAACTACTTCGACACCGGTGTCGGCGACTACGATGCTGATCTTACTGCTCTCTATGAAGCCATCGAGCTTGCCCGTGACGCGTTCAAGCGCCAGCTCGTCAACGTCACTGAGGTTCTCCCCGGTGCTGATGTCCAGTCCAAGGAGGATGTCAAGGATTACATCAAGGATGGCGCTTGGGGCCACCATGCCTCCTGCACTTGCCCTATTGGCGCTGACGATGACCCACGGGCTGTCTTGGACTCCAAATTCCGTGTCCGCGGTGTCTCCGGTCTTCGTGTTGTTGATGCTTCCGTTTACCCCAAGATCCCCGGTACCTTCACCGCTGTGTCTACTTACATGGTTGCCGAGAAGGCTGCTGATGAGATTCTGAGCGAGCTTAAGGCCAGCTCTTAATTGATTCGGGCGTGCTTATATATGTGAAGTTGCGAGCTTTGTGATTCTTTTGGATGGAAATGTGCTCGGTGCTCTTGCTGTCAAGCCATTCATTATTATGTGTGCATATGTATATTTAATCGATCGTTGACCAAATACAAAGATCTTGTATATAATTCTACTGGATTGATTGGTATTTCTTTACTCACTGCAACTAGCTTGCTAGACGGTTGATTCATTCGCCATCCAGGCCTGGTGCGCCCTGGCCAGGGCCAACTCTCAGGTCAGGCTACTACTTACTGCACTACCCCAAATTCAACCATCCATCTAAAACGGGATTTGTGCATTTGTTCTATCAGAGTTCCAACCAGCTCAGGTATTTATGCTGATCAACATCACATATAACAGCAGGTCTATCTCTGATTAATTAGAAAAACAGGAATTTCATTGGTTCGTGTGTAGTTCGTGTGTAGTTCATTAAACGATAATTCATACCAAAGGCGTCATTTCATAAAGCAAAAATGGCATACCCATTCAGTGTTTCCATCTGCTCCTACATGTTGGACATGTGGAAGCGTTGTCTGTTTCTAGCCATTGGTCGATGCATTGTTTGTGGAAGTTGACTCCACAGCGCGCCTTGCACCAAACCAATTCTTCAAGGTGTTCATGACCATCCGCATCATTATCGTCAGCATCGGAATCCTCATCGTCATCAAAATCAGAATCAAAATCAGAACCATCATAATCATCCTCGTCATCGAGGTCATCGCCACTACTACTCTCGCTATCCTCCTCTTCGTCCGAGTCCCCATCTTGCGAACTATGCAAATCGCACAAACAGATACCACATTCTCCTTCGACCTCCCGGCGAGTTGGCTGCGGTATTCCATTCTGGCTGACCGTGTTACCAATTCTACTGGAGGCGCGAGCCACAGTTGGTGTGCTCGCTGGTCTTTGACTCGAAACAGGAATAGCGCTTGTTTGACGGCTGGCCTGGGTTTGGACTGGCCGAGGTACTGGGATCACTGACTGATTGGTAGAAGATTCCGTCGAACCTCTTCTCAATGGTTCGTTAACATGATGTACTGGAATATTTTCGCTAGATGCGCTTCCCCCGCTACTGGAATTGACGACCGCACTCGTGTTTCTTCCCTCGCGATGACGAGTGTTTGTAGTAGTCGGTAGGACAGATTGAGCAGCCTCAAGGCGTCTGATCTTTTCCTCGGCCTCACGGAGTCTTTGCTGAAGAACGGCAATTTTCTCCTCCATTTCTGCAGCAGCAGTCTCTGAGATCATTCGGGATGATGCTCTTGCTGGCCGTGTATATGGTGTTGAAACAACCTGCGAATCGAGGTATGTACGGACTTGTCTTTTCCAACGACGCACGAGATCCGAAGCCTGGTTCTGGTGGAACCTTGTGCATAAAACATGAGGAGCCAGATCCTCTAGCAGTATATCGATGTTCCAACCTGCTTGCAGGTCTTTGGTACCCTCGTTGAGAAGCATCATTGCCGAACGGCGACCGCGTGCATTTGTGCGCATGTGACAACGACGGCCCTGTGAAGGAGCGTAGCCGGCACACCAAGGTTCTTCCTCCGGTTCGAGTTTGATGATAGCGGATAGAGGAGCCATGGGGAAGGTTGCGACACGGGAATATCGTGAAGGCATTATGGATTTATAGATTTGGGGAATTTAGAAATAATCCATCGAAATATGCTGTTGGGCACGGAGGGGTTCTGTTCGGTTGCTATATAGCATCCGGGGGAGAGCCATTTGTATTAATCGCTTCAGGCTGCACATTGAGCCTTGCAAGTATCCCTGTAGACATGGCAGGGTTCTATGCCACAACAGCGTGGCTCAGCCCCCAGAATAGAAACTAGACAGCGCTAAAGGATTGAATGAGAGATGCCTGAGGACGGACACCAATGAGCACTGACACTATGAGGTATAGTGCATAGCACTATCTTGGGGCTGTGTTTGCGTTGGGATTAAAAGAGGGGTTATCAGACCACTGTTGGCTCCCAGCGGCTTTTGATAGGCTCTGAGAGACAGATGCAAGGAACTTTTGTCATACGCAGGGACGCTAAGTTAAGTACCCTCTTCATTATTGGCTACTATAGTTTTATGACTATGGGAAGCACATGGGAATGCGGGCCGCGCCACCAAAGCCAAATCGCGATTCTCGCCTTCTCGTCCTGTCTATGGCGGACTTATCTTTTTATATGCCCATATCAGCTTTGACTCTATTATGTTCTCCGACACATAACATGATACATACGACCATAGGGTGTGGAAAACAGGGCTTCCCGTCCGCTCAGCCGTACTTAAGCCACACGCCGGTGAGTTAGTAGTTGGGTGGGTGACCACCAGCGAATCCTCATTGTTGTATGTTTTTGTTTTATCTTTTTTGTTCTTTGGAAAGAAAGTCCTTCTTGCCGCCCTACTCTTCAGTCCATTCAGCCCATTCAATTCACCTGAATGCCCTGAACACCACTATTCTACACCTGAATATCCTGCACGCCCCTGAACCGCTGACGTGTCTTTCCCCTCCCGTACTGAATTTTTTCTCACAGGTGTGTTTGATCACAACTCTCTGGTACTGATTTCTACCGGTTGACACATGTCCACCTAGGATTCAAATGACAGTAGGAAAGAAAAAGAAGGAGGGCCACCTAGGAGAATCAAACTTGATATTGAATATAAATTCGCTGGAGGTCACCCACCACACTACTAACTCACCGGCGAGGGGCTTATGTACAGTCAATAAATTAGTTTGGTGGGTGTCGCCAGGGTGAGAAGTGAGTGAGCGCCGCCTTAGCGTCGCGCGACCGGAGGGGGACTGCGAATTACCCTCTTAGGCTTAGTCTTGACCCTTTTGGTTTAGCGCTTTTCGTGTTCGGTCTCGAACCATGGAACGACTGGTGAGCAGAGCCCTGTTCAAATCAGTGATGGTAATACTGGGTGCAGAATAAAGCGCAGACATGCAGTTATCCAGGAATCGTAGCATCATTGTGGTATGATTCGGGGACGCGGTTGCCCGCATCTTGGAGATCTACGCAGCCCTGATCAAAGGCGCCTTGTTGTGACAGAAATTGTCGTTGCCTTGACGGTTGATTAATATGGAGGATGAGATGAACGGATAAAATGTGGTTTATTCTGCTGCTACTGCTGCTGCGTCATATAGACCGGGGATAATGAAATTTGTCTCCGTGATGCTCTGTTCTGCGCGTTTGCCTTTTGTACCAGTATCTAACTGGGAACAATCCTTCGTCATTTAGTAAAGATAGATAGGTATCTACGTATCCATTGGCGCCATGTACTACTAGAATTAGAAACGATCGTAAGTGCATTCCATCGGATGCTCTGACAGAAACTTGCAAAAGACCGGATAACCACTTGGAAGATTGAGATGCGTAGATCTCTGACCTGTTAGTCAATACGTGATGTTCTCATAAACCCAGGAAAATGAGATGTCACAGTCCACAGGGCCATGTCCCATTTAGCTAGCATCCTCGAGTCCCTTGGCATACCCATCCAGGTAAACAGAGAGCGCGGAGTCTGCTTGAATTAGAAAAATCTCCAATGGTTGCTGGTCAATAAAAGGGTTACTAACAGATTGAAACACTATGATCTAGGTTGAGCTTCATATACTCTGGGAATTTCTGTCATCCATTTCATCAGTCAATCGGAACCAACAGCTCTTCCAAACATCAGTTCAAATCATTAAATCATACCGCAAATTTTGCACCGCTTTTGAGCCATTTTTCAACCTCACGAGCGTCAGCGGTTGTTCGAGTCCAGTAGCCCGCAAGGAAATTCATCTTTTCCGTGAAGACTTTCAGTTTGTCATCCCCTAGCTCCACAAGCTTTGCGCGTGCCTGCTGGATTATCTCAATCTGCTTTTCATAATCGGCTTGCTCCTTTTCCTTCGCACTTATTTCATTGGAAAGCACTGAGGTTCTTGTCAGATAAATTCTACTAATGAGTTAGTTCCTGGAAGCAGACATACCAGACATCTCGGCAATAAGTCCTATAGCAGTGGCAAGCGAGGCTCCAAGGAGGAAGATACCTCCAGCCTGGTGTTTCTTGGGTTAGATATTCCAGTTCTCCGAGAGATTAGGCAAGTGAAACCATACAATAAGTACGATACTCCAAGGTCCGGGGACCGCTAATCCACCTGCTAGAAGGAAACCACCGACAGTGGTACCGCCAGCGCCGACCCCGATTAAAGATGCCTGGACCTTTGCCAGTTTCATTTTCAACTCTCCAATTTCCTTGATAAGGCCTGTGACCTTTCCATCCATTTCGCCTTCTTTTTTGGTGGCCCATGACGCGAACCCTGCGATAAACTTGGTAAAGTCGGTGATAAGATCCTGGAATCGTTCCTCCATTTTGCTTGACCGTGTCTCGAAATCAGAGGCTTGCTATTTAATAATTAGCATCAATGGTAGTTTTGATCATTCCCCGTGACCGAAGAATAGGGGCGTAGCAACCTGAATAAATCTCTGAATCTGTGTAATCCTGTCTTCAACCTTGATACTTTCGTCCGCGCAGAACTTGACAATAACATCGTCAAACTCTAGTATTGGATAGATGTGTTAATTCAAACGTAGAAATAAGGCCAGTATATAACAGAAGCGAGACGCACCCTTTCCATATTGACTGATGTCCGTAGCGAGGAGTCGACTGTCGCTGACGAGAGTATTAAATGACTTCAGAGAGCAGCCTTTTTAGCAACACATTCCAAAGGGGCTTATCGAGCGTGGAGTGGTATGGTCCAACCTTTTGATGGGTTTCCAGCTCTGGCATGAAAGTGGACTGGTGAATATTGTCGATCTCAGTTATCTTGAATATGAGGTCTTGAAAGACGACCTTGATCTCTTTGACTGCCTCAGTAGCCTTGTTTGCAGCTTCTTTCAAGTGCTGCTGTGCCTCGGCCGTGGATGCGGTCTTCGCAACACCAAGGTCAAATTTAGCCCTATCTTCTTCATTGTAGGTAGGTAGCGAGTTATCCGAGTGCTCTGCGGCAACTACCTTGAGATCAGTGGTGTTTAGGGTCCCCACAGCCTGTAAGAACTTCTGGGGATCTTTGCTGTCCCCTAGCGTAGAGCTGAACTTTTTGATGACTTCATCGTAAGATGGGGGAGCAGCTCCTTCGGAATACTCAGGTGCAGAGGGCATGATATAGACTCGGTATCGAAACTTCAATGTTGTGTCAACTATGGATATTCTGAGACGAAAGAACGGAAGAGGGGGCTCATATATAATTTACCTGTCTTCATTAAGACATTGCTAGCACTAGAAATGCATCGCGGTGTGATATCATAACTACACCGGCAACTTCCTATTGAAGAAAGTTACATCTACGTCTATGCAGAGGAGATGTGGACAGCTGAGAAATTGGGCTATGGCCTCGTGTTTTTGTGAGATCCTCTCTGTCTCCACTGTGGACTGCAGATAGGGGCCGTGTGGGTCTCATCGATCGGCATCTGGGAGCTAGCACGTAGGGACGGTCCGCCCGAGGCAACCAGCCAGGTTCCACCATCTTTCATATACGTGTGCATACATTATGCCCTTAGAAATCCATGGCTGAGATCAAGAAAGTCTTTTCCTTAACGAGCTTCCCACAGAAGTAGTTGACGTTCGAAGATGCATGTGCAAGGTCTCCAGCTCAAGTATACTTTCAGCTACGCCACGCCAGCAAAATTTGACAGTTCATCACAGGTCTACGGGTGTCCACCATGTTTCAACTTCAAATACTACCGGTTTATCACATACTAACATGTCACCCGTGCGTCTACTGACTATGAACACCCCCTTCTACAGCAACTTGAACCGGTTTCCATTATTTTTAGTTATCACATTGTGTAGATTTCGATACAAGATACGGTATGTAATCAATGCAACATGGCCAGCTGTATTGAGATATTCTATGAGTGGATTGTACTCTCCATCACGCATCTAGTCTCCACTTCTCCACATGCATTTCTTCAATTCCTTGCGCATACCCTTGAAGATACTTTGCCAAGGCGGAGTCTGAAGTAACGTGGGTCAGCTATCGACGAGCACTTGGCTATGAAAGAGCGGGTGGATACGAACATAATTTAACGCTCTTGTCGACGTTTAACTTCATGTATTTTGGCCACGCCTGTAAAACGTCGTCAGCACCCAAGTCATGCTTGCCTCCGAATATGCAGACGCACGGCCATACGAGCTCCACTATGGAGCCAATCTTCAATCTCTCGAGCATCCAATATACTATTGAGCCAGTATTGCCCCACTCCATCCAAGTTTTTTCGAAAAGTATCCAAAAACTGAGCTGCCGTGTCGTTGAGGGTTGGCGTAGCTGACGCTTGCGTCATGGACACCTGCAGCTTCTCACTGGGTTGCGCAACTATACATGTAGTAGTATGCGATGAGTTTTTTCCTTTGTTTTATCAAATCGGAATCATTCACTTACCAGCACAACTGACGGCCAGACTCGCATTTAAGGCGGCGGCAGTGCCAAGACTAGAAAGGCCTCCAATCTGTTATGCATAAGTCAGTTTACCGCGGATGTTACTAGTGTGATATCAGCTACCTACTGTCAAAAAGGCAGCCAGAGGTCCATAGAGAGAAAAGGCCAAGGATAGAATCGGCAAGCCCAAGTTCACATAAGGTCCAAATTTGCGGACTGGATCTTCGTGCGGGGTTTCCTCGACCTTTGAGAGCACGAAATTCAGCCCAGCCGAGCCCTTGGCCTCTGCAATGAGGTGAATGAATGACGAACGGAGCTCTTCTATTTGAGCCTGGATTTCTTTCGATTGTTGCTCGAACTCTTGGGTTTTCTGCGATATCAGTGGTGAGTACCCATTCAATGTTGATGTCATCACACATCGTTAGAGGAGTTTTAGTTTCAGCCAAAGGACGCACCGAAATATATTCCGCGATGATGGCTTTACGTTGGTCAACGGAATAGTTCTCATTCGCACAGAGAGGAATGACCTCGGAATCGAATTCTATAGAAGCTTAGAAACCTTGGAATGAGCAAGACCTGGCTAGTGTCGGTATTTACTCTCTCCGTACTGAGCAATCTCTCTTGATAGAGGAGTGCTTTTTTGAAGTATTCTGGCATAAGTCTGTCTGATGTCAATCATGGATATTTTCTTTCACCCCCCAGTCGCCACACTCAAAGCCTATATCCATACTCCAAAAATACAAAAGCAAACTTACACGCACAATCGGTATCATTTGATACGCAAACTGCGTACGGTACCATTGGTCAAAAAGAAACAGCGCAAAGCTGGCTTGCATGAATTCCATATAAACGTTGTGTGCGTTTTGGTAGGCGTCCTCCGCAGCCTTTTTGACGACATCGTCAATTGTGCCGGATGAAACCATCTGTGCAATACCACAGATATACTGCTCTTTCTCTGTATCGGTGAGATTGATCTTGTTTGAGGAGTTGATGATCGTCTCTGCTTCTGCTTTGGACAGCATTTGCCCCGCCCCAATGCACCTTTGAGGGGTGGGATGCTTGCCAATGAATCCGGAAATATCCGCCAACACTTGAGCAATGGGAGTCGAAGACATTTTGGATAGACTTCTTACTTGGTCACTATTGAAGAGTAAGTTTTTGAGTAGAAGTTTGGAGTATATAGGTAGTGAGAAACTGTTTTTCCTTCCCACACGAACAATGCTGGCTTAAATAGGGTTAAATAGACACTCCGTGACTTACACGTAATAACATTTTTTTGACTTGTGGAAATTTTGAAAGAGCCCTTGGAGGTTTACCATCGCGCTAGTATTTACTGTGAAACGTCCTCCTGAGCGTCACAGCGCAACTGCATATGCGCGTTATAAAATATTCAGGTTTTAGGGGGTGGGTTCTGTAGCTAGTGAGAGATGACCCACCAGTCTGAACAGGATATTGAGTCGCAGTGAAGATCCTGTATCAATCTCGTCAATAGCTGAAGGATCTACATAGTTTAGTACAAGATTCACAAACCTATCCCTTACAAGTGTTGGGATGTTACTGGTTGCTGCTGAATTTCACCCATGTGCTGCCAAGATGTACTCCTTTTGAGTACATATTACCTATGCAGTATTGGGTTTGAATGACGCCAGTGGAGATTGTACTCAGCTGAAACTTGCGTCATGCTAGCTAAAGACGATAATCATTTGATCTCAAAGCGCTGGGTGTTGAGGATACCCTGGCTGCTTGGTACCGGGTATATAAATGAAGTTAGCTAACTACAGGGTTTCCTCAGATTGATACAGTCATTCATCTTTATTTCAATATGGCCTACCTCGATGAGTATACGCTTGCCAGCCCTCCACCCCCCTACGAGGAAGTAGAGAAAAAGGTTAACGACCTTATTGGACCCAACCCAACGGTGGACAAGGTGCTCAATGCCACCAAAGGCCTTTCTCAAGGGGATCTCGTAACCCTCATCAAAGAATCCGGTAATGAGAAGCGCTTTCCTTTAAAGACTGAGAAACAGAAGGAGCACTTTGCCATCGCACTTTCTCAAACTGTGTCATCCCCGGATTTCAAGGACAAAGTCAAGCATTCTTCTTCGTCCGCCTCTCTAGCGGCAAAGGAGATCAGCGCCATTTTCCAGCGGCTACATGTGAAGGTTGTTCAGATTGATCAAATTCACAAGTCTACCTTTCAAAAGCCATTGCGAGACATTCAAGGGGTATGTCTGTGGTTAAACTCTTGCTAGCTGGCATTAACTTATAACAACACTTTTGAATAGACATACCATACTCTTTTGCGGGACAGTCGTACGACTGCAGTCGAGATTGCTCAGTATGGAACTTGTGAGTCACTATTCCATTATGTTCACGAGAACTGAATTCAAGAGTCTTACAATTACTTAGTATTCGATGAAGTCATTATAAAGCTCTGCGCTGACGAGAGCTTGTTAATCGAAGAGCGCAAAGTATCAATTAATGACTATATTGCGGTAACAATTACTCTTTCTTTCATTTGCCAATCTCATTATTGATAGAACAGGCTGACAATAGTGTACAGAAATCGAAGACGTTCAGCGATGAAGCAAGTAAGCTCGACGAGCGTTTCAATAACCTAATTCAGACCTTTTCTGACTTTGTCGACACTTTCTCTACCTGGGCACAGGACAAAGAGAAGGAGATTTCCGATGAAATTAAAGCGCTGAATGAAGATTTGAAGAAACTGCGAGCAAAATTAACAAAACTCAAGATTGCGAGGGATTCCTTCGTCACCGTTGGGGCTGCTGTTGTCCCTGTAACAGCCATATTAATCGGGGTCTTCGATAAAGTCGCGATTCCGCTTGTGGTATGTTTATACACGGTCTGAAATTGATCTACTGAGGATTCGCAGCTGATTACATTGTACAGATCGGAGGACTTATCGCTGCTGGCGTCACTCTCGCGATTATAGTTGGCCTCAGCGCTGCTATCACTGGTACGACCCCCATGCCAAATACCCGCTGAGATTTATGGATATTGACAAGCCACAGTAACGGAGGGTGAAATAGACGAGAAGACAAAAAAGAAGGAAGAACTCGAGACGCAGCTTAAGCAGATCCAGCAGGCTCGACAAGAGCTTGAGACACTTGGAAACAACTCTCTCCTATCGTTCAAGCTATCTGCCGGAATCCTGGCAGGCTACTGGCAGACCACCATGAAAGATGCAAGGGAAATCCAGTTTTGGCTTAACGACGGAGCCAAGAACGCGGTATGATAAGCCTATATTTTCATTTAGAATGGAATACTGACAAGTGAGGCCATAGGATCAACCCCAATACATGAAGCTGAACTTGAACAAGTCCGTGGCAATCTGTAAGTGCACTCTACCAGAATCTTGGTATTTTATATTGAATTGTGTCTTTTAACCGTGCCATAGACAAAACCATCGCGGAGTACATGAGAGAATATGCTCGGGGTGTTGAGCCGAGCGGATAACCTTGCCGGGTTGCTACTGAAGCTAAATACACCCTTAGGACTTAAAGTTCAAGAATGGAAGTTGAAGTAAAAGGCGATTGTTGCTCAGAACGGTGAAGGATCTTGGTAAAGTTGTTTCAAATGTTCTTTCAAATGTTCAATACGGAGATTATATCGCTGTAGGGTTCAGCTTATATCAGGCGGAGGGTCAACACTATCAGAGCTTGATGACTGGATGTAGATGACCGTGAGGTATTACGTTTTCTGTTGACCATGGCCGGCTGTGGACACAAGGCTAAAGCCTAGACAGTTTAAATTAATGAATTTGAGGTGAATGTCGAGATGAGATGAACGTTTACGTCCTGGTGGAGGAGTGGCACGAAACGGATAGCGGCCTGACCCCGCTTCCTTACAGTGCGTCCCAAAGCGACGAAAAATGGAGCAAAATTGGTATTCGGATTTCCACACTCCAATGGAGATTAAATGGAAGATAGAGGGGTAATTATTTCAAAAATCAACTTCGGTTCCACTCAGACTCCTAGCGACCTGATTTCCAGTTTTCTAATTCACTAATATTAGATAGAATAGATAGATATAGTATTACTGTAGATCACTAGGGGATATGCAAATTTTAGAATATTAACTCTCCGGGCTTTAAGATTGTTATTATCGCTCTTAAGCGCTACTATATAGCTATACTAGTAAGGATTAAGGAAAGGCTTATAAAGAGTGTGATCTCTCTAAGAAAAGAAGATACGAAGCTATAGAGCTTGTTAGGGAGTCACTAGTATCCCCTATATCTTTTGTCTCGAACATTTCTTCTTTTTCGGATATGTCTTCGTTGTCGGATATAATAAATCGGCTGAGAATAAAAAGAGACGCTAAGAGGTTATCTTAGCCTCTCTATATATATGATTTTAATTTAGCTGTATCTTAATTAATTAAATAAGCTTCGTAATAATAGGCTCCAATCTCGCTTTCTGAATTGATAAATTGAGTCCTCCTACCGTTAGCGAATAGGAAAATCTACTAGTATATAATTAAGTCAAAAGTTTAGCGTATTTTATTAATATTACTAGTTTATATTCACTTTAAGTCAAAAGCTATAAGAGAATTACTAAATATTATAGGCAAAAAATATAGTAATTATAAAATCACGTAGAACTAGCATTATTTATACTAATTATTAGGGAATAGGCCCCTAATAGGACCCTACGATAGGCTGTGGGCTCAAAAAGAATCCTAAAGCATATTATAGGTCCAAGAACCGGGCCCAAAGCCCAGTCTATTCGTGGGTTGGGCTGGGTTAGGCTTTATGGGCTCTGCAGAAGCCTACTTGTCAAGGCCTAGACCTACTTATCGAAAATATGCAACGTGTGTCTATAACGAGATTCTGTTTGTAGTAGCACTACCTGCTAGATTTCACTGTTACTATACTCCCCGAAATCTATAATATTCGCCATATATTTAACGATAAGTTATGATTAGTCCGCATTTTGCTCGTGATAAAGCGAGGTCAGGTTAGAGTGATGAAGCGTGGTTGTAGTGATAAAGCGAGGCTAAAGAGATAGAAACGGAGGGGAAAAGAAGGGTACTTGTATCTTTTTTGGTTATGATGGGAAATGTGCCTTTTGCTATACGGGCAGAATATCTGGGTGAGCAATATTTAGGTAAGTAAATATCTGCGCTGAGTGCCCTGAATAGAGCGGCGAGCCGCCCACGCCCAAACCGTGGGCGCTAGGTGACCACCACCTTAGACATGCTGTTGTATGTTTTTATTTTCTTTTTGCGTACATTTTTGCTAGCTCCATGTAGGAGGGAGGAGATGGATGGGGTTGAAGGAAAAGCCAAAATGACCTGTTCCATAATTCAATGCCTGACAAATTTGCAGCGGCTCCCTACATCCGTAGGACTTTAGGAGGCGATCTTGTTTGAACCATGTGCAAGGCAAGACACGCATAAAAATAGGTATGGACCGTCTAGAATAAATTATCCTGTATACTAAAGTTCACTCACCCAACTAGGGAGGACATTTCTTTATCTGACGGGGTTGTTTCTGAATATTTCGAGTACTTGGACACTAAAATGAATATATCTATGTGTATATCTATCTCCTGGGTTTGCATTGTCCGCCAATACTCCAATCTAGACCTGCAGTCATCATATGAAAGCGCATAGTTGCATCGTGACACTTTCCCCTCAATATACGTACTCAAAATTCGGGTTTTGTATATCAGTCAAATCAGCGAAGGCCGTGGAATCGGCCATTAGCTCAGAGTCGCCTCCTCTCTCCCGTAATTCGTCGCGCATCTTCTCCTTTCGTCGGTTCTCCCAGATAAAGGCGTAACGGAGCACAAAGAAAAGCATGAGCTCAAGGCAGTTGGCAACCAACAGAGAGCCAATGCCCAGGGGATATGCCGGCGCTTGCTCAGATTTGTAAAAGAAGGGACTGGCAATGTTGCCAACGCACGCTCCAAACCATATCATACCAGATACAATCATTTTCTTGGACTGCCCACCGGTATTAGAGGTAACAAGGGAAAGGGATATCACAAAGGAGGCTTGATATGACCCAGTGAGATAGCTGTATATTGGGTGATTGATCAGTTACTGCCTTGTAATCAAAAACGTCAGTTAAATAGACTTACAAGCAGATCAATCGGCCGACGTATGCATTGTCGGGGGGCAAGCAAGAAACCAAGGGCTCCCGCAATAGTCGGGACCATGAACAGTGCGCAGACCAGGGTACGGCTATTCTTCGGCATATATTGGTTGGCGTATCCTCCAAGCACAATCCAAATGACGACGATTACTCCCTGGGGTATACCAAGAAGTGCCGTATTGAGTGTATCGAATCCGAGACCTTGAATGACCAAAGTGGAGAAATTGGAGATTCCACCGTTTGGAACGTTGGCAAGGAAACCCAAGATGGTGAATAGCCAAGTCTTATAATCGAGGTACGCCTCTTTGACCTGGCCCCAGTTAATTTTCCGTCCCTCAATACCTGTTTGATTGGATCGCAGTCGCGCAATCATCATGAGCTTCTCGTCACGGTTGAAGCCCCAGAATGTTGCTGGCGAGTTGGGCAATAGGAGAGCCAGTGCAATTCCCCAGGCTGCACAAACAGCGCCGATAATGAGGAACTCGTAGCGCCAGGATTGAAGGCCTCCTTTGATATTACCGATTCCGTAACCTAAATAGCGCAATCAGCGCGTGCTACTTAACCCAGTGCAACAATGAATGAACCTACCAATAAGACCGCCGCCGGCGATACCGATACCATTCCATAAATAGTATGCCGAAATACGCCAAGGTTGCTCGGCACGAGTATAGTATGTAGAGACGACAAGCATGAATGCAGGGTCAGCAATCGCCTCAAACGCACCGGAAATGATCCGGAGTGCCGCAAGTGTAGCGAAGTTATGTGATGCAGCCTCACACATGAGAATCACGCCCCACATGAAGATGTTGAAGGCGAGATACCAAGCCATCCGGCTGCGTTGCATGAGGAGGTTAGACGGGATTGCCCAAACTAACCATCCAAAGTAGAAGATACTCGACAGCCACGAGTATTCTGAGCCGGACAGATTGAGGTCATCTTTGATGCCAAATATTGCTGCATACGAAAGTGTCGTCTTGTCGACATACTGTTAGAAATGGGGGATGTCAGTTGTGACCTAGACAGAGCGAGCTCGAGACGATCAACATACGTAGAAGAAGTAGCATATACCAAGAAGTGGAATGAGGTGCATGTCGAGCTTTCGTTTCAACTTCTTTTCTGCCTCTTTGTCGATAGCCTCATCATTAGGATATCTCTGAATTGCTTCAAGATATAATTCACTGTCCTCTCCTTGGTTGATTTTGTCTGCCATCGATACCTTCAGGTTCTCCTCTATGTGTTGGACATCATGTCCGCTTTGCGGCTCCAGTACCTCGGCGAGGTTTTCCTTCTTGTCTGCCATACTAAAGCACCGGGTTTCTTATTCAAGGTCGGTATTAATCGGTGTAATCAGTGGAAGGGGTATTGAAGAATGACGATTTACCAGTAACAATATATAGGACGACAAGCGTAATATAAAGGCATTGCTTGAAAAGCCGGCAATCGGCAATGAAAGTTGGGTCGCATGGCCATTGGTGGAATAAATTTTGCGGGGATGTGGGATTAGCGCAAGATTTGGGGTCAAGTCACTAGGGCGACTCTGTTTGACTGTGTATACTGTGATGGACTATATGCATGGAACATGGAGTGATTTGACGGCTTGCAGGGTTGATGAATTTCCTTGAGTTTGTGCTTGTGCTATTCAAGGCAAATACTCGTGATCATGAGAGTAGAATAGGAATTTATATGTGCTGGGGTTACAAGCTGTAGCAAGACCGGACAATCTCCGAGTATTGATGTCAAAAAATGGTTACAATACGACAGCCGACGATGTCATTCCTCCTCGTACCCATTCCCGGCTTTATCCGGTGATTGAGTACATATTGTAGCTGTGTGCTCCGCTAGGATATCTAAATGATATTGGAATAGGTGTATATTCTTCGATAAGTATATCCATAGCACATGGAGGTAGGAAACCCGCATACGCGGCCTTGAGCTGCTATAGGCGGCCACAATGTGATACAAAGATGTGAATTCTGTGCCTATGCGCTTAGAACCTCTTGGGTTTCCGATTGTGGATCGGGTACAAATATATATATCTGTGGGGGAATGGGGGAATGGGGGAATTGCGTCGGAAAAAGCAACGTGGGGGCCGTGAATTCCCCAGGGTGGGGGCCACTGCCGAGCAATGGTAATGACCGGGATAATTGCCGAGCAATAGCTTCGTGCAGCCACAATATCCATAATGAACCTTTTTGGAAATTGGTGGTAGAGATCGGCATATGAATCAGCCCTTCGGCATTTGGGTGCTTCCAAAAGTCACATGAACTGGAAACCAAAGTACATAATAAGGGATCCACCCGATATACCACAAGTGAGTCCGAAGGATCCAACATGGTCACTAGGGAATTCAGCAGACTGAGGAAATTACCTTTTAGCCCTGTTATTGGGCCGTTTAAGGTTCCCAAGGTTGCCTCAAAAAAAAAGCCAGCTAACCTTCCGGGGCCCTGCCCAGACATGGGGCTCAGTGGCTGGTCCTCGCCAAGAAACCAACCCCTTTATCCCAGTTTCTTGGCGAGGGCTGGTTAGAGGCTTATCTCGCTCTTTCGCACTTTGGATCGCCTTTAGATCAGCATCAATACGGGAATGCTGTTTTTGGGTTTGGTCATCTAGGTGCTTCTACGCTATATAGTTTGCAACAAGGCGATATCTGATACCATTTCTGGATTGCTCGATTTATACTGGCGCCGACAGCTGGGATGCAGGATGCGATGGGTAGATGCATGTGATTGAACTTCATGGATGGCAGATCTTCTGTTGTGGGGTGTCATATCTCCCTGGGCATCCAGAGATATCGAGTTGCCGTCCTGACCGTCGAAGAGGAAAACTGGCAAGGAGATCGAGAGGTATAGATAGGGCCGGCTCCGTTTAATCTTTACGACATGCATGCTTCTTCGGTTGCTCGGGGCATACAAGCTTCTAAATTGAACATTTAGCGTGACTAAACAGCCTAATTCGGGTGTTGCAAGAAACTCTCCTTTCTTCTGATACAACCAACCCCCAAGCGTCCATTAGTTGAAGATTCCTGGAACCTCCTAGCCCGAGATCAGACCTATATTTGTTGTTTATTGTCTGCGAGCCTAAAAAAGCCTGGGGGAACCCAGACCACGTGATGGTATAGATATTGATACCTTATTTATCAGGCCAGAAGAATAATTTTTGCATGTGCTTATGAGGGTGGAAACTTCTTCTCTTCTTTTTTTCCCCTACTTGATAGACAGACCTGTTATTCCGGGGACCTAAAATTTGAATCCATAAATCTATATATACTACCAGCCAAGTATGTATACGGTCGGGAATAGAGTGACGATCCCGCATTTTATGCATCCCCGGAGTTTCTGTGTCGGGAATAGACTTACAAAAGTAGAGGTTTAGTAAGGCGTATGAATATCAGCTCTACTTTGTACGAGACGAGTGCACAAGCATCAGAATTAGATTAGTATCGTTTGCGCCCCGAATTGCGCGAATTTTGTCATATGACTATGGAGTCCTCCGTTTCCATCCCTTTTACTCTTCTCATTTCTTGCTCTCTGGACTGCAGTAGACACCACGTGCATTAATTTTTCAAGTGCCAGCAATGCACATTTCGTCAGGAATTCAGAACAAGCAATCAGGTACTCCGTAGGTAAATTAACCAATTTAACGATATTTTTCTATACTTTTCGATATTTTCTGGAAACCCAACCGATCTGCCATGTTGTTACACGTGCACACTAAGCCAAGTCGGCCAATAAATAACCTCCGATATCCAAACCACCCGTCGCCGAAAGTTGATCCATCTCCGAATTTTCGCTCTCGATTTTATCTGCCCTAAACCTAAACTGCTATAGTGGTTTTTTGTGCCTAACAAAACCCCTGGATTAAGGTGATAATGCATAAAAACGATCTGCAGGATGACCGACGTGCGTTACATTTCGGGCATGATTGGCCCTGATGGCATTTAATCAAACGCGAATACGTGATGTTTATGGTACCTGAGCCGAGGCTCAAAATTATATATAGAGTCGAATCAAGAAGCTTTTGTGATAGAGTGCTGAGATCTCGGATTCTGTAAATAAATTACATTATTCAGCCATGGGTGGAATTTCGTCGCTCAAATTGCTGCCCCTTGTGGCTAGCTGCGCCTTTGCTGGTGTGAAATATCCTGAGATTCCGACAGATTTGACTACACCATTCCAACAGCGATTGTCAGTCTATGGACCTAATGGTAAGATGACTGCTAGATATAGTGAATTTGAATGAGGGCTTACATTATTCGTCTTTAGCTGTCTCTGTTGGTTGGAACACCTATGGACAGCTAGAACAGAGTTGCGTCAGTTATGGCTTGTCAGAGAGCAACCTGAACACCAAAGCTTGCTCGTCTTCGTCGACCACCTACGACCCCTCCCGGACGTGGTCCAATGTGGCTGTCCTAACAGGCCTGACACCCGCAACAACCTACTACTATAAGATCGAGTCCACCAACTCGACCGTAGGCCATTTCCTCAGCCCTCGCACGCCTGGCGATAAAACTGCGTTCAACATGGACGTGGTCATTGATCTAGGTGTCTACGGCAAAAACGGCTTCACATCTAAAAGCGCCAAGAAGGATACCATTCCAGTGGTCGAGCCAGAACTAAATCACACCACAATCGGTCGCCTCGCGAAAACGATTGATGACTACGAGCTTGTCATCCACCCAGGAGACTTCGGTTACGCCGACGACTGGTATCTCAAATTCGCAAACTTGTTCGATGGCAAAGAAGCCTACGAGGCTATCATCGAACAATTCTACGACCAACTCGCACCAATTGCAGGCCGCAAGCCCTACATGGCTAGTCCAGGAAACCACGAAGCAGACTGTTCCGAGATTCCATACTTGAACGGCCTCTGCCCCAAGGGCCAAAACAACTTCACCGAATTCATGCACCGTTACGAGAAAACTATGCCGCAGTCTTATGTTTCCTCGTCATCCAACACAACAGCCCAAACCCTGGCCCGAACGGCCCGTAACCTTTCAAACCCGCCATTCTGGTATTCCTTCGAATACGGCATGGCCCACGTTGTTATGATCAATACCGAAACAGATTTCCCCGATGCACCAAGCGGCAAAGATGGCTCCGCCAAGCTGAACGGTGGGCCATTTGGCACTCCGAACCAGCAGCTCGATTTCCTCAAGGCTGATCTCGCCTCCGTTGACCGCTCTGTCACCCCCTGGCTAATCGTCGCTGGACACAGACCATGGTACTCAACAGGAGGATCGTCGAACATCTGCGGTCCCTGCCAAGAGGCGTTCGAAGGCTTGTTCTACCAATACGGCGTTGACCTCGGTGTTTTTGGCCATGTACACAACTCGCAGCGATTTGCGCCTGTTGTTAATGGCACTGCTGATTCCAATGGCATGAAGGACCCTAAGGCGCCCATGTATATTGTTGCTGGTGGCCCGGGTAATATTGAGGGTCTAAGCTCCATTGGCAGCAAGCCTGCTTACACGGAGTTTGCCTATGCCGATGACTATAGCTACAGCACACTTAGGTTCTTGGATGAGCAGCACTTGCAGGTTGACTTTGTGAGGTCTTCTACTGGCGAGATCTTGGATTCTAGTACTTTGTATAAGGAGCATGCGACTGATTTTGTGGATCAGTGATAGAAAACTGGGGATATATCTCGCATGTGACAAGCTAATTTTGTTTTAATGAAATGGTGGGGGAGGGGGGTGTATTTTAAGGGAAAATATGTAATATGAAGACTTATTCTGGCCATGAAAAGCAGTCCAGTTCTACAAGAAAACTAATTTGCTCAAAAAGATACCAGAGAAATAAAGTAGGAAACGCCGTGAATGCCAATATCCACAAAAATCCATCCCATAATTATATACACCTTGGCCAATATCTATATTCTATGTTCATCAAGGATCTAAAATAACCAATTATACAAGTATAACATCTCATGTTATATGACTTTCTTATCGCTGCGATAATCGACTCCTCCATTCCTGCGGGGGTGTCGTCGAGGTACCCGCGCCGGACCCCTCTTCGAGGGTCCATGGCTCACTGCGTACCACAGTCTCTGAGACCACAGTAATATCCTTCGAAGAAGGCTCAGACTGGGCGAGAATATGCTCATCACTGCCCCAAGCAGAAGTTTGCATATGAGTTGGCGCAGCAGCGCTCGTCTTACTCTTCTTGGTATCGCCTTCACCGCGGTTTGTCAAGGTCTTTATACCTCGACTGGAGAGCTGGTATGGGTGTCCTGATATCTTTCCCGAGGAACTGAAGACGTCGGAGAGACCGATCTTCCTGAAGCCCTTCCGGATAAGTGGTTGGATGATGGGCAGGTTGGAGACAACAATTGAGACAAAAGTCTCACGACAGGCCCATTTAGAGCCAGATACAGCGCCATCGGCGGTCCCCTATAGTATATATGTTAGATACGTGGCAAGTGATAAATGTGTGTGTTTCTGTAGGGGTATAGTATCATTGCATGGTACATACCCTCATAATTGTAGCGGCCCGAATAACACCCGCTATCATGACAAAGGTGGCACCGGAAAAAAGAACCATGAGAGGGACTTTTCGTTTCAGGTTGAGGTTAACAGTCCAGAGAAGGGGGAGCGGGATTGAGAGAAGGTAGATGTCCGTGAGAATGTTGAGTATCACGACAACGAAAACATAAACATGTGAGTGAGTTGGCTGACAGAAATCTGTGCAAATATAGTAAGATAAGAATGCCATTATATCTGATAGCGGAGGAACTCACTACCGGGGTCAGGATAAATCTGCCAAAATGCATGGAATGGCTGGCATGATAGTAGGAGGGACAATGCTGTTGCGATGTATGTCACACCTAAAATAAGATATCCCACCCGAACTCGCGTGGGGAGATGTTGGAGGCCAGTCCTGTAATATGGTTAGCGCATTGGTTCATATTTTCAAGTTGATGTGTGATGTGAAGCGCACGTCAATCGGGAGTAGAAAACTGCCAAGCTGAATTTGACTAGCCAGAGAATAGCCACGTATAATGACCATCCAATTATTTGGATTTTGGATCCAGCAACACGATGGGACCACTCAGTCGAATTGGGGTCAAGCGTTGCCCGCTGCTCAGGTGTCATGTAGCTGTTAGTTAGGCCCTCGAATTTGGCACCGACGAGGTACGCCGCTACTGTTTCGAGGACAAAGAAGATCTGTGAAATAAAATTATGTTAATTATAAATTCTTTCAATGTTGCTTAGAAGACATTCGAAACAACGTACTCCTGCCAATGGCATAAGATAATCATCAAGTTGGAAATTGGCCGGCCCAACAAGCTTCCATCGTACACCGACACGCACTAAGATTATAACAAGAGCCAGGGACAACAATGTCCATGCCTCGGCGTTACTGGCCATTCTAGCAAATCCTCAGCAAAGCAGAGCACAGAATAACGGAAGATGAACGCGGGAGTTGGAAGGAATTAAAAAGAAAAGGATCCAGCCAGACCGGCCCACTGGGAATCCTCAGGACGCAAAGGTTTACTAGGTACTCCATAGGGAGTATCATGTAACGTTATCCAACTAGTTTGTCAGGCTAACTACATAGTACGAGTACCTAGGTAGTCAACCCCCTGGAAGATCATCCATGTAAATTTGCGTCAGTCCCACCCTGACTCCACCGAACCCACTCCGCCCAAGACCTCCACGGGAGGGGCGGACTCTGTAATTGGTCCGGGCCCGACGATCCGTGTGCCCGACACGGGAGGCACCTGCGGGCATGTCCCGACCCTCGGTCGTGGCTGTGAAACCGTTACAAGACGTTGTGGGGATCTATTACGAACCAACATCCAAAGTTATCATTGGGCAATTCATGAAGTAGCTTGTTCAAGACGTTATTCTGCTTCAAGAATACTTTAGACTACCACATTGGGAATAGATCCCCCCTTATTGTCATCTCCGCTGTTCTCCGATGGGAAATCATGTATTTATTTATTCTTCCATCCCTCCTAACATTTTCAAACTCAAGATTGGTCTTTGCTGTTTGTATTTTCGATTGATTCCACCTCTATTCGACATCTGCGCCGTCTCGTCAGGTCATTTCGCAACATGTCCGCCTTTGACTTTATCGTTGTCGGGAGTGAGTGATCTTCATTGAGCCCTAACTTCGTTGGGCCTTACCCCCACCACGGACCTCATTATCGCAAATGGAAAAATCCAACTTCGATAATAAGACCTAACCCCCCCCAAAAACAAAGCAACCAACCATTCACTCAATCCACAAACCCAACACCATCTAACGCATCTCACAGCTGGCCCATCCGGCTGCGCCCTCGCCTCTGGCCTCGCTAATTCGACTGCCAAACCCCGCGTCCTCCTCCTTGAAGCAGGTGACAACAAGGACGATCGCAATCTTCGCATTGATGGCCAGCGATGGCTCACCTTCCAAGACCAGTCGATGAATTGGGGATTTAAGACTACTCCGCAGGCGGATTGTAACAACCGTGAGATCGATTATAGTCGCGGCCGGTGCATGGGCGGCTCGAGCTCCATCAATTTCGGCGTGTATAGTGTTGGTGCGCGCGATGATTACCAGGAGTGGGCGAGAATTGTTGACGATGAGACTTTTGCGTGGCCAGGTGTTCAGCAAAAGTTCAAGGAGCTGGAGACGTTCCATGGGGAGATTCCCGAAGGCATAGATAGAAAGTATGTGGATCCGAAGATGGAAAACCATGGAACTGAGGGTCCGTTGCATGTGGGCTTTGCACGGGAGTGGGAACGGGATTTAACAGACGTCTTGGATGTCTTCGAGCAAGCTGGGTTCCCGTTGAACCCAGATCATAATTCAGGAAATCCGATTGGCATGTCGGTACTGATTAGCTCGGCGCACAAGGGATTGCGCTCGACTGCAGGAGATTTGGTCAAGGAGAAACTGGATAATTTGACTATTATTACTGGTGCCCCTGTACAACGTGTCCTCCTGGAAGGCAAAAAGGCCGTGGGCATTGAGTCGAATGGGAATAAATGTGAAGATGCGACCTACCCTTCCTGCGAGTCAACCAGATACTAATAGTTGCGAACAGACTACGCTTCAAAGGAAGTCATTCTATCCGCCGGCTCGCTAAACGATCCCCGCATCCTGATGCACTCAGGCATAGGCCCCGCCGCCCAACTCCAACAATATGAAATCCCCGTCGTCCATGACGTACCCGCCATCGGCCAGGGGCTCCGCGATCATTGCTTCGTGCCGATGGTTAACACTCGCACGGCAACCAGCACAGACCGAAAAGCCTTTTACGGTGACAAAGCCGCCATGGATGCTGCACAGAAGCAATGGGAAGAAGACGGCACAGGCCCTTGGGCCAAATTTGCCTGCGAGTTGGGCATTGGCTGGTTCAAGCTGACCGAGCAGCTTGTTTCTACTCCAGAATTCAAGGCCCTCCCCGCAGACGAACAGAATTATCTTCTACAGGAAACCGTGCCCCACTACGAGATCCTCACCCATTTCCCCGTTCACTGGGTCATTCCTGATTTCCCGACCGAGGCATTGAACTACTCCTGTCTGCTCGTCTTTTTGTTCAACGCACAGACTCGCGGAGAAGTCACATTGCAATCATCCGATCCTGACTCTCCGCTCTCTTTTAACCCTAAGTTCCTGGCCCATCCGTTCGACCGTCGACTAGCGATCGAGGCCTTGCGCGACTCGTTCCGTGTCGCCAAGCATGAAGCCTACACAAAGGACAACGTGGCAGAGCTAGCAATGCCTAAGGGCGAGTCAGACGAGGAGCTACTTGAATACTGGCGACAGAACATCTCATCGAGCTGGCACATGACGGGAACCGTGAAGATGGGCATGAAGCACGATGTGGATGCAGTTGTGGATCCGGATTTCAGGGTGAAAGGTATTGAGAATCTGCGTGTTGCAGATATGTCAGTTGTACCGGTGTTAGTGAATGCGCATGTGCAGGCTGTTGCGTATGTCACCGGCGCAATTTGTGCAGAGAAGTTGGTGAGGGAGTATAACCTTTCTTAGACTCAAACCTTCTACCAGTGTAAGTGGGCACTGGATGGTACAAATACCCACTTTATGGAAATGGTACATTTTATATTTTATTCTTATATAAAAGGTGCGTAGAAATAACATAGACCCACACATAGGTATTTTGGTTAGTCTCATTGTTATCATATCACTTCGGCATGCACATAAAAATTTGAAACTATTAGGAGACCAAGCAGGATGTTGATCAAGAGCTTTGTTGATATCGGTATCGATGTTATTGGAGGAAATGTTTCCAATTGTCTCGCTGTGAAACGAGGTTTCAGTTTTGTTGAAAGCCAAACTTGGAAACTGGTGTTTTTTTCGAAGGTTGTTATCAAAAAGTGGAGAATGTGCCGGTAAACTTAAAATTATAATTATTAACTTTGGAACCCTATTAACTTTGGAACCCTATTGTTGTAATATAAAGTGGGGCAACATACCTAGGTAAATACATACACCAAATTAGACCGCTAACTACTTATACCAAGGAGCTATATGTATGCACTAGCGTGGCCACGGCGACTTACCAATTGAGTAAGTGGTATGAAGTCGCATGTCGTCGGAAGTCCACGCGTATGCTCATCAATCCACTTAAAATCATAGGATCGTCAGGGAGCAAAGTGCTTCGAAACCCTTTGGGTTCCTAAGAGGTTGATAAACTAGTGAGCTTGACATTTAGGGATATTCTCGGATGACTAGCATTACAGAATTATATTTTGGGGCCTCTCCTACTCAAATTTGCTAATGTCTAAGCGAATCAACCCAGGAGCACAAATTCAACGAAATTATCGAGCTTGACAAGCAAGTGGGGTTGACTGTGCACACGTAGTGGGGCCAGTAGGCGATCTGAGAGTTCTCAATAATACATTGTGCTTGTCGGCTAAGCACAGTACGGAGTAGTTTGCTCACGAGTACATGTTTTGTAGGCTCATTATAACTAAGAGTAGGGGGTTCGATAATAGTCCGTCCCCGAGTGCCTAACCTAGGGAATAGTACGGAGTATGAGAACTCCTAATCTCCGTTGCCTATAATTAGACTGTAACGAAACCTGAATATATGTTGTATATGTCAAAGACCCCCACCTAGGAACGAACCCAAGGCCCGCTGTGCGGGCTCGCCCCGTTAGGCATATGAAGCTCAACTTTGCACAAAATTTAGGTCTTGGCAGCCATGAAACTGTTAATTAGTCCTGATAAGATACTTTTATTTACCATTATTCTATACTGTAGTCACGTCATCTCTATCAAAATGTGAAACTAAATCACATAGGAAATCAAAGAAAATTATTTTCAATCGCGATAAAGCACAAATTATGGAGAAGAAGCCAAGTCATGTGCTTTGCATAGTGCCTTGTGCCATCAAATCCGGTGTGAATAGCCCAGCAAAAAACAAGGCCCGATTAGGGCTACCTACCCTACACTCACCTATATATCTAGGCCACCATAGAACACAATAGGCTATCCAGATTGCGATAATATATTATTTCCTCTAATTCCACTGATTGCACATCATAGATCTTGTATTCCAAGTCGGCTGGTATACATATCCCCCTCCATTATATTCGTGACATATACAACAAGTCATATACTTGATGATCGTTGTTGTTCGTATTTGCTTTGTTTTCTCCTAATAAGCCATAACTGCGGGCCCACCTGGGCAGGTGCTTGATTGGCTTGACGAAGTGGTTTGCTACATCCATGGGTTCCTCTCACATGTAGGTCTAGCGGCTACCACCAAAGTAGAAAATGTTAACAAGGTGCCAAGACGTAAGAAGCAGACAGTGGGCTAGTTGTTAAGTATCATATCAACAAGTATCGAGACCTATGGAATTATACACAGGAGCTGCAGGCAGGGCTAAATAAATGTGTTGCAGAGTGTGATGGGCTAGTCCCTCCGAAGTTGCTTACATTTTTCATAGTACCACTATTCTGTACAAAAGAAAACTTGTATCGACATAAATGACCTATCACAACTTCTTGGGCGCCTCAGACTTCGCACCTAGCCCAGCGATCACCGAAGGCCGCAACTTCAACCTGTTTAGCCACGCATGAACATTGGAAAAGTCCTTCTCTAAGTTAATTCCATCGCCTGCCACCCAAGGCACAACTTCAAACCATGAAACAAAAACAAGATCCGCATAACTGCACTTGTCGCCCACCAGGTACTTGCGGTCCTGCAAGACTCCATTCAGTACACCTGACACACGGCGAATCTCATTGATGTAACGATCGACAGCAGACTGCAGCTGTTCTTGATGATGTATCTTGAACCACACAGCCTGGCCGAAATACGGGCCCTGTCCCGACGCCTGGAAATGGAGCCACTGTTTGGCATGGTAGAACTCTGAGGTATCGGCTTGGAAGCTGATCACTTTGTTCTTGTCGTATTTCTCGACCAAATATTCGATGATTGCTCCAGATTCCCATAGAGTAATACCCGTGTTAGGATCTTCAATCGCGGGGACTCTTCCGTTGGGGTTGATCTTTTCATAGGTAGGTTGTTTCATCTCCGGAAATTCGAGGAGCTTAATTTCGTATGGAATTTTCAATTCTTCCAGGACCATCACCACCTTCTTAGGGTTGGGGCCTGCGTGGTGGCCGTAGAGGATAATAGACTTCATGTTTGGTAGGGGAGGATAATTGATAGCAATTGTGTAGATGTAGTAGGTTGAAGTTGGTGGGTTTTGGACTCAGCAATTCAACGTTGTTAATTTATTCCTAATCCGCATTCTATATACTATTCTTCGGTCTCGCCCTCGGGGTTGTATTATGCAACAGACCGACGCTGACAAGAACCTTGGCTGGTTCTAGCTTGGGTTCAACCGTGGTATGATTGAGAAAATGGTATTTGATTGGCCAGTTTCCTTCCAGTGGAGCTCAAAACCTTATTCGCGGATTAGTGTTCAGACCCGAGCTGTGTCATTCTTCGCTCCTCCGTTCACGGGGCGACCTTCGAGGTCATTCGATCTTGGCAATGCCTTAGAATCTTTTTTCTCTACATAAATATATCACCTTTCAAATCTCCAAACTCACCCATTTCACACATCTCACACATCTACTTCACACATCTCACACATCTACTTCAGATATTGACCATATCATCATGTCTACAAATAACATCGCATTCACTGCCCCCATTAACCCTGCTGGTGCGAGCCCAAAGCTCCATCAAGACCAAATTTGGGCGGGGCTTCGCTTGAAAATCCGATCCGCAGAAACCTTCGTTCCAAAAGCCATCCAATCAACCACTGTGATCTCCGACTCAATAGATCCAACCACGGGGAACGAAGTTACTGTTCGAGAGGTCGTTTTTGTCGAAAATCAGCGCAAAGTCCAGGAGACCGTCACAGCATATGAGCCTTCCAGGGCCGTCTTCATCCAGCCTGATGGTAGCACCATTGTCAATGTGGTTAGCGAGGACGCTGACGGGGAACTCCACATGACCTACACCTTTGAATGGAGACATCCTGGTGCCTCCAAGGAGGAACTAGCGGCGTTTTTGGAGAAGGAGAAGAAGATGAGTCGGATGGCTGTGGAGGGGACAATTACTGTTCTGCGGGAGTTGGCCAAGAATGGGAAGATCTGAGAGTCAAAAAGTTGTATTTGTCTGATTATTGGAGTTTGTCACATAATACATGGATTGGGTTTTTCATGGATGATTCTAATAAATGTAGAAAGCCTGTCAGGATTGAATAATTGTTTTTATGTATATTTGCTAGACGACCGGCCGCTAAGTCCTTTACCGAAGCGTCCTGCCATGGTCAAATGTAATGAAATTTTTGTTTTTCCTTTCGCCAATGTGTTCTGTGTTAAGGAGTACATATGCTTACTGCAAGGTGGCAAGACTAGATACTAATACTAGTGCATCAATTGCAATTCGTCATTGATTGTTCTCCACTGTGGTCACGTAAACGCATGTAGTAGACTGTCAACCATATAGTAAACCTTGACTCAACTTAAGAAACTCACAACCTCATCCCCGATAAGACATCTTGATAGCTCCATCCTACCATACTACAACAAGCAAAAGCGGAACCCGTCGGCATTGAGGATCGCTAATGATCTCGGCATTGGCTACAGCCCCGAGGGGACCGATCTGTCAGCAAGGCGGGGCTCACAAGCCCCGACTCTCCGACTCATGCTATACAACGCAGCGTATATTATGCAGTCCCACCACTATGCCAATACTTTCGAACCAACACCATGGGCTGCAGTTAAGAGAGACTCTGGAGAATGGAGTTTGAAGAACCCGAGAAAGGTCAGTCGTGGGCTTTCGCCATATCTCGAAGAATCGACATCGGGAGTGAGATAGGTCTGTCTGTTGGTGCAGTAAAACTTGTAGAACCTAGAGAACCTCAGGTATGTTAAAATCCTGAATTTGACTCCACAAACTTGAAAATCTTACTAAGGAATCCATGCCATAAAGTTACCTAGGTCATTATCTATCTCTAACGTATTACATGGGTGTGTAGAGTTCTTCAGAGATTCAAGTCTGTTCAACTATGGCTTGGCCTTGTACTAGTTCTCGAATACCGTAACAATTTCTAAAATGCTCTTGCGATCGCTGTGGACTATCAAAGTTAGTATCCCCTTCCAAATATATCAATCGAATAAGAAGAATTCACATCTCTTCATGCCAACCACAGCAGGGTCTTAGGCGACGGGTGCGACAAACTGGGACGTATTTTCCAGATTAAATAGTGGCAGTACAAATTATGCACGTATTATTGAGCTCCTTTTTAATGTGGCATAGATGACTGTAGTAATGATGTCATTTGGCTGGAAACCTCCCGCATATAAAGAGACTTCACTGCCCTCAAAAAAGTTCAATTTCTATTTACTTCTGATACGTATTCCATAATGCCAAGATCAATTGCAATCATTGCTGGTGCAGGGCCAGGAACCGGTAGCGCTATTGCCCGCCGTTTCGCCAAGGCCTACCCAGTGGTACTTCTTGCTCGATCGCAATCATCCCTTGACCCTTTGATTGCTCAAATTACGCAAAGCGGTGGCTCTGCCATTGGTGTCCCCACGGATGTCAGCAATTCCGCAAGCATGACTTCGACAATAGACCAAGTCAAGGCCAAGTTTGGTTCTGATGTGACAATCGCCGCCGCCATTTACAACGTGGCGAGCAAGTTCACGAGAAAGCCCTTCCTGGAACAAAGCCAGGAAGATTTCCTCGGGAGTCTTGAGCCATCCGTCAAGGGTGCTTTTAACTTTGCCCAAGCTACACTGCCCCTAATGCTCAATCCCGAAAAGGGACAGTCTCCACCCACTCTCATTTTCACCGGTATCGCATCCTTTCACTTAAATTTTTTATTAAGATATTTCCTTACTGATTCCGATAGGCGCAACGGCTGCAATGAAAGGTGGCTCCGGACTTTCCGGATTTGCGATGAGCAAGTTTGGAATCCGTGCTATGTCCCAATCTCTCGCGCGTGAATTCGGCCCGAAGGGTATTCATGTTTCACATGCGATCATTGATGGCATCATTAACACTGAGAAGACTAAGGGTTACCTTGATGATGTTCCTGATGCAAAAATTGATCCGGAAGGGGTAAGTGAAATTAAATCTCATTGCCGCCAATTCTCACACTAATCAACAATCATAGATTGCGGAATCTTACTGGTTTTTGCACTCCCAACCTAGGACTTCGTTTACTCACGAAATCGATCTCAGACCGTATGTAGAGACCTGGTGAGAGACTAGAGATCGAATAGGACGATTGTCTTTACAATCGGTTGTTCTTGGTTGAGAGTGGTATAGATATAGGGCGATCACTGGAAAGCGTATACATCTAGAGCTTGATATATGCTATGCCAAATTAGGATAAAGACTTCAAAATTAAAGTAAACAATATGGTATCTTTCCAGTAGCGAGAAACCCGAGTAATCACTAACCCAAGCCAGCGCCGACCACGGTATCACCCGCAATTAACAGAATGCCGTCTCTAGTTGGATAGATATCCAAGCGACAAAAATATTCCAATTACCTCCTCCCCTTAACAATTTGACAGCCACTCATGCCTTGTTCTTGTGCTCTCGGAAGAAATCCTCGAGTTTGGTCCAAGTCACGTCGGGATATCGGTTATTATCGAGCGGGTCGAGTTTCCCGGCCCCAGAAAACATATTCGCCATATATTGCATGCCCTGCCAAACGGGGAACACATCATTCTCACCACCAAATAGGCGCATAACCCAGATCATGAACTCCATGAGTCCCACGGTGCCCATCCAGCCGGGCTTGTATGGCACACCTTCGACATTGCTCTGTGCCTGGGCGATATCCTTCACAGTGACAGTGTCACTAGCGATGCGGAGGAAATTGGGCGTGGGGTTGGGGTCTGCAGCCACGGCCGCAGTATATGCAGCCGTATCCACCATAGTGGTAAAATCAAGCAGTTGCGTGGTCTTCCCGATATAGGCGACCTTGCGGCTCTTGTGATTGATCATCGGCGAGTCGCCAACCATGAGATCCATGAAGCCGCCGTTGAGGATACTCGTCCATTTGATACCGGAGTTTATCAACTGGGCATGAAACTCGCGGCGTAAATCAAGGTTGCGGTTAGATCCAGGCTTTGTCTTGGTGAAGTCCAAGGAGAAATCCGAAGGGATGAATCTCGGCACCTTGGCGGCTACAGAGGCCTCGAGGAGCTTGCTCTGAACGCCGTGTATGACATCCCTCAACCCCTGGAGCGTAGACACAACACACATGGCCCCATCCAGTTCGCGGGTGAGAGCCGGGACCGCGGAGAGATCCACCGCAGAGATGGTCACGCCGGCGTCGCGGAGCTTTTGGGTACGGGAGGGATCGGTGTTGGGGCGGACGAGCGCTTTCACGGCCACGCCTCGTTTGATCAGTGCCATTGCAACAAGTTGGCCTAGACCACCGGCAGCACCGGCGACGGCGACAAATGGGGAAGTCATTTTGCTTCTCTTCAATCAATTAAGAGAGATAAATATTTTTGGGAATTATTGAAAGGAAAGCATTCTAAGAGCGAAAGGACTTTGTTTTTATCTGTATCAATAATTTTAAGCTACTCGATTACCACGCAGAATTTCCTTGGAATTCTCACCAACTCCAAAAAGGACTGTTAACTTAGTCATGGCGGTGGTTCGGGACTGAGATGAACCCCGGCGGCCCACCCGAAGTGGGCACCATCAGAGATAGAAATCTCTTGGAAAATAGAAACATGGAAATTGATGCAAAATCTGATTATATCAACTCGGCTTATCGCCCTTATGCGATTACCGATTTACCAATCCCATTCTCGATTCCTATATCAGGCCCCCAGGACTGGGATACAAAGACCTGGATATTACATTACAAAATAGGCACACACGAGCTAAAGTACCGACAAGAATTATCCCGACTATCTATAAACTTTCCTAACGATGGCCGGTCACTCCTCTGGGCTTCCACCCCTAAGCGACTATGAGTTTAAGTTATACAACCGCATGGCAGAAAAGATGGAGGGATTTGTGCGTACCCTGTTCGCAGCGTTGGTGCTTTAAAATATCATGCTGATTAACTCCACAGCATCAATGGTTTCGAGCGCGATGGAACATAATCTACGACGTCGCAGAATCATCACAACGCCCCGCTGGTATGTCTATCAAGAGCTACCTTAACATGTGTTTGGAATTTTGTGAAAATCTCGAGACACACCACAAGATTGAAGAGGTAAGAGTTCGTAGAACCAAGTCCCACTCGATTACACTTGGCTCGGTTTGAGTGACAGTTTTGCAGATCCGAGTTTTTCCATACCTCGCTACGCGGATGCCTGCTTTTGCCAACAAGGATGAGTTGATTAAGCAGCATAGAGTGATTCATAAAGGACTCGAGAGATTCGAGTCGCATGTTCGCAATTGTCTACGGGGTAATGCTGATCTACGATGGGATGAGATCAAAGATATCTTGGACTCGTTTGGAACGACACTCTGGGACCATTTGGACGATGAGGTCAGGGAACTGGGAGCTGAACAGACTCGGAAGTACTGGTCAAAGGAGGAAATGATGAGGATGCCGATGTAAATGGGTTATATTATTGTATTATTGTATTATTATTAAATATTAGATATGCTAAAGGGATTATCCTAAGTGGAAATTTTGCATCAGCTCCTCATTAATTATCTACGAGAGGGTAGCTTATCAACTGCGATGGGACGGTGCTCGGTGTTTACTGCGTGATCTTACATACTATATGACCAGCCTATACCGGAACACGTAATTTTGACAGTGATTTTCGTGGCAAGGGTCTGTAACTATGGTAATCATATTACATAGCCACCGTTACATATAGTCGGCGCTCGGCATTGCCCATGAGGCCGATATATTTAGGGTCCACCAAGACCTTTACCACCATTGATAAACATATCCCCGTTCTAACTTATATCACTCTACAATCACAAGTGGATCCAGGGCAAATTTTCCATGTCACTTCCAATCAAAAATATCATGAAGCCTATCCCAATTATAGTGTGCGGCAAGTCTGCGCACGTCGCCGTTGGTGTGAAGGAAGGCATCAGACCAGCATATGAGGGTGAGCTATCGACTTCCAGATACTGTTGTTTTAATTACTGCAAATAGCTGACCAACTGCAAGCACTTCATATCGTTCAGTCTTTGGAAGCTGGGGTGAGGGACATTCCATCCCTTTTGGAAGGACTCGCGCCTCCGTCCAAGGAATGGGCAAACCTTGGAACCCAGGAGTACGGGAAAAAAGTCGCAGCAGTTGTCGCTGGAGGTGGATATGACGATGCAGACTTCGAACAGCTACGAAAGGCTGGGGAGGGCAAAAACAGTATACCGTGGCTGCGTCACGACATAAGCAAGGATATTGACCCAAGGCAACCTAGGCCCAAAGCTGGGATTGAGTATGGAGAGCAGCTTGCAAAGAAAATAGTGAAATGCTTACAAGACTTGGAAAAAGATAAAAAGATGGACAAGGATGGGGTATATTGGTTCTAAACGATATCATAAAACACATTCTGATATCAAAAATTGTGTACCTGCGTTTATTACCGCTTATTCCTGTGAATCTTGTGAGAAAGCAAAGAAGAACAGGAGGTTAAGATTCAAATGGATCTAGTCTGGTTGTGTATACCCGGGGATAAATAAATGAGGCAATAACATCGGGGGTATTATTGTGTATATGATATTTCTTTGAATAGTAATGGGTATTTCAGTTCGATTATGGGTGATATATATATACCTCTCTCTACATAACTAATCCGTTGAGGGAATCGGAGGTGAAGATCCTCGGGCTCCATTACATAAGCAAAAACGGGGGCACAAACGTCATGAAACAGATTATTGCAAGAAATTATGTTTGGCTTTGCAAAACATCTTGAGCTCTCCTGAATTCCAAGGTTCAAATCATGATGTCTACCAAATGGCTCAACCGGCAAATCCTGTGAACTCCAGTCTTCCTCGCGAAGGAGTATCGACCTTGATTAATCGCAGTTGCAATGCCTGCAATCGTAGGAAGGTCAGATGCAACAAGAAATCTCCGTGCGATAACTGCGTGAGGCTCGGATATGAATGTAATTTTCCACCACCTGGGCGGAAGGCCCGGACTAGGCCAACAAAATCATCTAAGGCTGAGTTGATCTCGCGATTAAGCCTGTTGGAGCGGGAAGTCCAGAAGCTCGGCGCGCAAAAAGTTGGGGCTGATATCCCTGTGGACAGCCTGGAAGATCAGGACATCGAAAAGAGCCAGGAGAGCAGCCGCACTGCACCGTCATGGCCGCCAAAGACCCCTGCGCGTGTAGAAGCGGAGGTTGATGAGGATGGAACCGGGATTCATGGGGGTCAGATTGTACCAGAGCTGAACCCTAGCACATCGGAAAGCACGCTGGGACACCAATTTGGACGGTTGGTCATCGACAAAAGCAATGGGACAAGCCGGTACGTGGACCATCGGGTCCTAACGGATCTAGGAGATCAGGTAAATTGTGCCCCTCTTTTTCTACAGATTAACCCGGTTGGGGCTTTACCAACAACTTGCTGAATCCCTTTCGCGCTTGTCTTTAAAGATCAAGGAACTCCGTGATGCTGTCGAGTGCCCGCCATCGCCGACATCATCATCCGAGGAAGAAGATACTTTATCTCCAGGTTCTACCGCTACATACTCGGAAACACATAGTCCTTTTATATTCGGTTACCGTTCTTCGATTTCTTCACTACATGAATACCATCCGTCGGCCGCCATCAGCCATCTACTTTTGAATGTGTTTGAAGAGAACATAGCACCTATTATCATGATTATTCACAAGCCAGCGTTGAGGAGCCTTATCCAAACATTGTGGACAAATCACGAGGAGCTTGATAAAAGCTCCGAGGCATTGGTCTTTTCTGTGTACTTCGCTGCAGTCTCGAGCATGACGCCAGAACAATGCCTCATCCAGTTAGGGGAAGACCACGCTGTCGTGGTGAAGCGATACCGCTTCGCTGTCGAGCAGGCACTAGCGCGCGCAGGCTTCTTCCACACCCACAAACTGCTTGTGTTGCAAGCAGCGGTCCTCTTCTTGACCTGTGCCTGTAATCCAAAAGATACTCAATTTGTGTGGACCATGATAGCTGTGGTTACCCGGCTTGGGCTTGGCTTAGGGCTACATCGTGACGGCACCCACTTTGGTCTCAGTCCCTACGAAACCGAAATGCGGCGCCGAGTCTGGTGGTACATTTATCTATTGGATGTTCAAACATGCGAGTTCCAAGCAACGAGTCCCCAGATTCGGGAAGGGGACTATGATACGCGATTGCCGTTGAATATAAACGATGACGACCTGTCTCCGCATTCGGTGGATACTCCTCAAGAACGGACCGGCTTTACGGAAATGACACTAACCCTGGTCCGCTGTGAGATTCTAATCTCCCGTCGCAAGTCTATGCAAATGACATGCCTAGGGCCTGATGGCCCGAACGTCTTGTTCAAGAACCGCAACCTTGCAATAGATGAGTCCAAACGGCTCCTTGACGAAAGATATCTCCAATTTTGTGACCTCAGCATCCCTATCCATTGGGTTGCAGCAACAATTGCACGAGTTGCGCTTGCACGGCTATGGCTGGTCTCCCATTTCTCACTCCTAACCGCGCAAGGCTTTGAAGCAAACAATTGGCCCGACCGATGCGAAGTTCTTATCTTAACGGCCATCGAGGTCCTTGAATTTGTCTATCTGCTTGAGACCAATGTGAACACCGCCAAATGGTCCTGGCTGTTCCAGGGATATGTTCAATGGCAAGTCTTTGCGTTTGTTCTATCGGAACTCTGCGTGCGCCCGGGCTCCTCGTTGTCTGATCGTGCGTGGGCGGCTGTAGACCGGGTTTGGCAGCGGTGGAATACGACAAGGACTCACAAGGATAGGTTGATCATGCGATCCCTCGAACGTCTGATGAAACGGGCTTCTGCGAGCCGGACTCAGCTAATTGGATCGGAACTGGCTCCTCCCATTGAGTCCAACCTGACCGAAATGGAAATCGCAGACCAAACAATGATGGGCCAATTAGAGGACCTACCTGGGGATCTGATGGCTATGGATGCTGCATCTTTGGATCTTTTTAGGGACGTGGTGACAAATTTGGGTCTATAATGAGGCCATGGGAAATCCACTGGATCATGGTTTGAGTTTGGGGTTGGGATAACGAAGGAAAGGATCCCTAGGAGCTATGTACGTGGGTGGGATACGACGAATACCCTGGAACTGGTTGGCTTTGGCTTGGTGCCTCGGGGCTCTGAACAGCCCCGACTGTACTCCACATCTATGACCGATCCCGAGGTCCCCCCCAATATACCAAATTTAGATGTATTTTCCTCGCTATAACGCTATTCAATTCATAAAAATCACTGTGTATGTCTCTCTGGACATGTCTCTCTTCTATGTCCTAGTTCAGACATTCTGGCCTAAGGCACGATATATACATACGTCATCGCTGATTCTGGGCCGAAGAGCTCAGAGCGTCTCGGTGCTCGGGACTGACCACAAACCCGGGGTGGTGACGGAACAACTAGTTTATTTCCCGTGGGTCTGCTTCACCACAACATCATAGCTATACCAGGTATCTAGGCCAGGTGCCTAGGTAACCATGGGCTTTTACTAAGGCATTGCCACCTTTTCGGGTGTCCGGGGTCCCGAATTCTTCAGCCTTCCAGAGTTACTGTACGATTTTACTAAGGTGGTCGGTTTTGACCTGATGCCGAGCTTATTCACCGCGTCTTTGTCTCGAGAGACCTCATTCGCCTGTGGCCAAATTTAAAGATTCAGAGTTGAACATTGAAATTATAAAAGCTTCCTCGATTCCTCGACAATCTGGAATATATCATCAACCCAGACTTCATTACTACATTCCTCTGCCTCATATCACTCAATTTTCTCTCTTCTCAAAGCAAATTTATCCATCCTTCACCATGTCCAAGGTCATTACTATTTTTGGCGCCACCGGTAACCAAGGTGGTTCGGTTATCGACGCCATTCTCGCCGATCCCAAGCTCTCCAAGGAATTCAAGATCCGGGGTATCACCCGCGACACCACCAAGAAAACCGCACAGGACCTCGTCAAGCGCGGTGTCGATGTTGTCTCGGTAAGCTTGTATTTTTTCTTGTATTTTGGATTTTTTTTTTTTTCGTTGCCTTTCATTTCCCTGCTCTTCCTCATGAAGTGATCATATAATCGTCATGGGTAAAGACTAACATTCCAACAGGCTGATCTGGACTCCGTCGACTCTCTCACCGCAGCACTGAAAGGATCTCACACCGTCTTCCTCGTCACGAACTACTGGGAGACTATGAACGCCGACGTCGAGTACTCTCAGGGCAAGAATGTCACCGATGTCGCCAAGGCCGTTGGTGTTTCCCACTTGATCTTCTCGTCTCTCCACCATGTCACCGAGGAGACCAAGGGCCGTCTCACCAATGTTCCTCACTTCGATAGCAAGGCCAATGTCGAAAAGTACATTCGTGCTTCGGGCCTCGGATGTAGCTTTATCCTTCCAGGTTACTATATGAGCAACTTCACCCAGATGCTCGTCCGTGCCGAGGATGGCTCGTACCAGCTCTTTTACCCCGTTGGAAAGCAGGCCAAGTTCCCTCTCTTCGATGCTGCCCAGGATACAGGTAAGCCCCCTTCTTGGCTCTTCCTACTTTTTGATATACATTAACTCACATATCCCCTAGGTCTCTTCGTGAGAGCTGCCCTCAAGCACGGCGACCAGCTGAAGAACAAGCAGATTTTGGCCGCTGCCAAGTACTACACCCCTGATGAGATCGTGGACATTTTCTCCAAGGTTACCGGAAAGAAAGCCGCCTTCATCCAAGTCTCTCCCGAGCAATACAAGGCCTCCCTGCCTGCTGCTATGGCCGATGAGTACCTCGATAACCAGCTGTTTGTAGAGGAGCCTGGCTACTACCTCGGAGAGCCCCTCGAGCCCAGCCTGAGCCTTCTCGATGGTAAGCCTACTACCTGGGAGGAGTTTGTGAAGAAGAACATCTCCGCTTGGAAATAGGTCGCTTGGAACGAGAGTGGTCGCGTTAAATAAGAATCATCACTTCAAATAAGAGTTTGATCTTGATTCGTATATATCTATCGTTTTAAATGAAACTCTTCGATATCGAATTTTCTCAAGTATGGGTTAAACCTTTAAATCAGAATGTCTAAACAACCATGGCTTGTTAGATACTATATTTCTATCTATATACGTACCGTTCCTTTCTCGGTAATTGAAAATAACTACCAGTGGGACGCCTGATATATCATAATCATAGCGCGATCGTGTATCCGTCAAGATCAAGGGCCCAATAGACCGAAGATCTTCACTGGGATGCTTTGCATAACTTTGAGATCTATTGTTGGCTTTATATTCATTGCAAGGCGAAATGTAGATCGTAACAGATATAACAAATTAATTTCCGAGAAGCAGATATCAAAACTACGGCTAAATAATAATACCAAGGTAATTCAGCAAGAATGTGTCGGAAGTAAAGAAAAAGAATGTTTGTTGTCGGTCTCTTCACAAACTCAATGTTAGCAACCCGGTCACTCCGGCAAGCACGATGATCCTTCTACGTGCCAACAACCCAGTCAGTATCTTGTTGCTTCTGGCTAGGTTGCTCCTTTGCCCCGGGGTGCTTTCCCTGGTGGTGTGGCCATCCCCAAATGTGGTGCTTCTTCGGAGTTGCAACATTATCTGTATGATATTGTTATTATATAGCAGACACGAAAGACGGGAAAGTAATATTATACCAGTTGCTACACCAGCGAAAGCTTCATTAGCGTGAGATTGAGGCTGAGCAGACTCGGACGTTTGATTCTGCGGCTCTTGCTCGAGAGGCTTTGCCGCGCTGGGAGGATCAGGGGATGTAGGGACATCCGTTGAGTCGGCTGAGGATCGACGACGGAACGCGTCAGATGCTCTACGGATGAAGTCCGACATAGTGAGTATAAATGCTTGCGGTATTGTTTGTGATAATTGTGATAATTGGTTGGACGATATTTCTTGGTATCCGTACAGAGGCAAATGACGATATAGAATTTCTGTTCCCTAAAGCTCTCTATATAGTTGAGCTATAGCAAGGCGAATGATGTCATACGGCCCCATTAGTACAAAGATCTCATGATCACTCTGTCATTGTTTTACAGGTATAGGTCTAGCCCATAATGGCTATTAGGTATATTGAACGGTAGGTGAGGTCATGACATGCGACAACCCCGGCGCAGAAGAGTTTTAATTCGTGTTCCATAGTGATTTTACCGCGGGGGTTAGGAGTGAGTTTCGTATTTCTGTGCATATTAGGTTTGATAGGCCATGCCTAGGTAGAAGGGTTTGTAGAACCATGGTTGAGAATTGAAGAAGGTCACTTGAGTTAATTCCGATTTACTTTTGTCCTTTCCCGTGGCCATTTGTTCATTCGCGCTGGATGCAATCATAACGGTCTCTAGAAATAAAGCGTCCATTCTATAGACCTATTGCAGTGCAAGAAGTTTAGATTGGCCCTTCTATCTCATCTTTACTGTTTATCCTTCTCCCCTGAATTTAGACCTCCAAGTTTCAATTTATAGGAACGGAAGGCCAAAATATCAGTTTCGAAATATTTGACCGAATACCTATAAGAAAGCCTCCGCTAGCCGATTAGACGATTGCCTCATTGCCGAATAAGATTGATATTGGGTACGGTGATAGTTACTTGGAGGTTTCTTACGGTACGGAATGTCCGGCTTCGTTCAAGGATGATTTGCCAAATATATTGGATATAGCGGATAAGGGGCACTCGAATAAAAGAAAGCTTAACGTACTATTTCTATTGAAGGCTTGCGCACGTCGTCCGCAAAGGGCGAATAGACGAAATACACTCGAAGGAATGGCGCGAGAGAGCTATATGTACAATTTACAGTGCATCTATAAACTTAGTCTTTATTACGATGCTGATTTGAACTTAAATTCGTCTGGGACCTCCTCAGCCGCGTAGTTATGAACCGGTTGCATACTTCTTCGTAGTTGCCTCATGCACCAAGAATACGCAAACCATGCAGATTCTCTCGGGAGCATAAATGGTCCCTGAAACACTCTTATGAAGCGTTATAGGATTCCCTCCACTTTATCAGCTTCACGCGCAGGGTTTAAGATTAGTGGTTGGTCGTACTATTATAAAATTAGTTAATTATATAGTCAAAGGTTATAAGTAGAAAGTCTAGGGAAAGTCTCTTATATAGAATATAAGAGTTTTACCACCCTCGTATATATCTAAAAAGATAGCTTTAAAGATACCCCAAAAGACATCTAAAATGAATACAACAAGGCCGTATAGGTGGCTGATCGCAATTCTTGTCTTGTATATGCCTCCGGCGATGAATGAAGCGGCGAGGTAATATCCAATAAGGGAGTTCTGAACCGGTGGCATACTTAGTCGCTCGTACTTTGTAGGTAATCCATGTAGAAATCTGGTAAAGTAGCCTAAATAAATAAACATTCTGCGAGTTCCTCCGAACTGTTTCCGCGACAATTCCGTAGCGAATCCGAGCCGAAGAGCGTTCCACTACCCGAACTCCCTCCGCTGTAGAGTAGATCCTAAATTTACTTCTCAGAGGCATTATATTGACTTTGGTAACGATAAAATGCAGTCATTATATCCACAACTCTTTCTTCTCTTGAAGGCTCATACCAACGATGCCAGCTTCTGGTGGCGGAACCCTAACATATACAATGACCTTGGGATATTATAGTGCGATCTAAGTACGTAGAAGACCTACTGATATAAATCATGGTAAATTCCGATCTTAAATTAAAATAAAGGACATAAAGAAGGCTATACTCGACTCTCGCTATGGTGATATTTTCCTGAATAAGCCCACGCCTTTTCCGCCGTCCACGTCATATCTACATACATTTTATATACCAACAGACATATCTGCATTGCCATCTTCCTCCCCTCATACTACTCCTACCTATATCTCCAATATGGGTGTTAAACCCAGAACCGACCGCCCCGTCGTAGTTGTTGGTGGCGGTGTCCTTGGCCGCCGTATCGCCTGTGTCTTCATCGCTGCTGGCTACCATGTCCACATCCGGGATCTCTCGCCGATGGCTCTCCGCGACGCG